TTAACTGGAGCAATAATCAGAATTATAATTAATAGAATACAAGATAAAGTAAAAATTATTCCACTTTATTGTACAACACTTCATCATAGTACACATAAACATAATTACGTGAATTTAAGTTGTTGCCTAACAGACCACTGGACCTCATATTCATCCACTTATCATTCAGAATCAAACCTGCTTACGTCCAGCCATGCACTAGTAAGGTAAGAGTCATAAAACTGTAATATCCAGGTTTGGCAATGGATCCCAGAACCACGATTCTGACAATATCTTAAGGTATAACAACTGGGAAAAGAGACTTCTCTCATACTTTTCACTTTTCTACTCCAGAAACCCACCAAGATATTCACTGACCTTTAAAACTCTTTGCTGGTTGCCTGATCATGGGTAGCAATTTAACCCAATAATAAATAAATCATGATACCACAGCAGCTAACAATGGTTAAGTGTAACATGTGAATTCCCTTCACTTCACAGCTTTATTGTCATGAACACCTTCACGCTTAACACTTCATAGAAAGAAAGTTTCCCAATAGGGGTTGTTAATTGTTTGATTTTATTTTCAAAGTCCAGGCATAATGTAAGCAATATTGTCCAGTATTTTAACTTGCGTTTCATGAGAGCTGCCATTTGTTTCTGGTAACTGGGCTGTCAGACAAAGTAATGGTCCAAGTGCACAGATCATTGAGTCTAGGAGAACTGACAGGCTACCCTGCACTGCTATGTGACCCTGAGGATGTACAAGAACATCACAATCTATCAAAAACATTTTTAGCCTTACAAAATCTTCTGAAATAAATTTATGTTAAAAACAAATTTGAGTCCATAATTTTACATCCCCAAGTCATGCAGACACACAATTCTACTGTAACATACATTGATGAAATTAATCAATCAATTAAAAAAAAAATCGTAAAATATCTAAAGTAAATTAGAAGTAAGCAGCCAAAATGAATGGTGTTACACTGATAGATAACTTACCCTATGTTCATGCAGCTTGGTACCTATGATACTCAGAGACTCTCCCAGCAGCTTCAGGTGGGCTGCAGCATCTAATGGAGATGTTCCAGTCACCTGGATATAATAAAACACATGGTCAAAAGGTGACATTCTGACTATTATTCAGAGGCAAGGCCCAAAAGTAGTTTAGGGGAAAATATACTAGAAAACTCCCAAGTATGAAATAGTAAAGTTCACACTTAAGTCACCAATCTATGGTGATTGAAAAACTATGTTTGCACATTCTTTTGATTATCCTACAAGTTTAAAAACTAACACCTATCAATGTATGACACACACACACACACACACACACACACACACACACACACACACACACACACACACACACACACACACACACACACACACACAACAGTCAAGCTTACAAAAGAAACCACCAACCTTATATGGACTAAGAGCATCTGAGGCAGATGACAAGCTGGGGGGAGAGGCAGCTGCAGCTGACGCAACTGCTGCCTTGGGCCTGGACCCTCCGTGACGCACAGCTGTGGATGATTTCATCAAGTGTGTTCCTTTGGGCATTGGTTTACCTGTACTTATAAGGCTTGTACCCTTATTAGCAAGTTTCTTAGCTTTTCTCCGCCATGACTGTAATTAAAAATGATAAAAAGAGACCAGTTACCTTAAGTACAGAGTCACAGGCACCCTTCCTCCTTATTCTCTGCTTGGATATTCTAAAACACTTTAACATTAGTACACAAATGCTAATTTCCCTTTTAATGTAAACTTGAATGTCATATACAAGGTATAACAAAAATGAATGCAGTTTCATTTGTTTAGTTTTAAACAACTTACTAAAAAAGAAGAAAATAGTCATGTTTCAAAATATTTTCTTTTAACTGCTTGCACTCTATTTCTTATAAAATCATGGAAAATATATTTCACCCAAACTACTTACTGTCTTTTCCTTCTCAGGCAAAGCTTGCCAAATCTCACCAAGTCTCTTGCTTATGTTGGCAAAGTCTAAAATGTTGATCAAATAATAAATAGTTTTAAAAACACTATCACCAATCTTTAGTAGTAAGCATTTAATTTTGCCTCCTTTGAATTATAAATACAAGGTTAGTGCAATTGAATGAAATAGTACAGATATTATCATTGAATGAATAGCAAATAGGCTTTCCTCTTCTGTATTATAATTTTGACTCTGAGCAAACTAATACGTTTTGACCTGTCTTATTACAAATATATATCAGGGGAATATATTGGTTTTATTTATGGCAACATTTATTAAAGACATGAAGTACCAATATATACTTTACATCTCTTTCTAATTTATGTGAAGTGTATTAATTACCTATGCCTGGATTCTGTGCTACAATCTTCTGCCTATAGGAACTACACCACAGTGTATATGCTGTGGGAGCACGGGTTCTTCTAGCCTAAAATATCAATTAAATTCAACATCTTCATCACACATGCTCCACCATGCTTCTGTGGTACATAGTAAACAATACGAATATAATGAAGAATATAATCATTGGTAAACATGAAACTAGACAGCAAAGCTAGCAAATATACAGACACCAAAAAAGGAAGAAACATCAACAAATACATGCAAAAAATTAATTTTTACCCTAAAATTAAACAGAAATATGGTTTGTCACTTATATATGAGGCAAACGTCACCAAAATTGTGGAAAAAAAACAGAATAATTACCATAAATGTAAACTGATCATGCCGATTATCGAAAGCAACCTGCCTTTTTACCAAACAAAGCCACTCAGTAAATTTAAACTAAAACAAAAATACCATTTGGCAGTTGTGGGGCGAACATCATGCATTGGATGTATGGATCTCTGTAAATTTTAGAGTCACCTTCTTTTCTTTGGATTTCCCTTTTTTCTTTTTCTTTTCTGCCAATCCTGGCTTCTTCAGTTTCATATACAGTGAAGTATCAGGAGGGGCAGGCACTGCAAATTCTTGATTAGAAGCCTCAGCATCTGTACTCAAAGCATCTGCTGAGTCAGACTCTTCTAGAAAGAACGAAAAAGATTTGAAAGTTTTTATTTTCAAGTCAAGTTTGTCATCTTTGCAAATAGGATAACAGTGTTATGACTGAAACTCCTTCACAAGAAGAAAGTAATTAAAGATTTCAGAAAAACATGAACAAAAATTTGTATAACCACTATGCAAAGGTCTACCTTCTATACAATCTTCATCCTGTGTCTCACTGAGTTCTCCCTCTGTGTGACTTTCACTCTCATCTACTTCATCCCTGCTATCTTCTAGAGTAAAACTGCTGTCATCAAATTTAGATGGCTGCTTCTGTTTCTTTCGTTTGGATGATTTAGGTTCAGGAACTGATCATGGAAATTTTAAAAATTGGGTTTTATGATTCAATAAAATTATCTGACTAATTTAACCATGGTTAGAAATCATATTCAAATTATGCAGTGAAAGATGAAAAAATTTTAGTCCTTCTGAAAAGGTCACAACTATGTATAAAGTTCATTTCCAAGTGAAAATGTTAATGGAACCTGTAACCCTAACATGCCTTGTTGACTACTGTAGTCTGTCTCCTTCAGACTAAAAATCTGACATTTTCTGTTAAATGTATACCTTCTGGATAGGTATCCATACTGGTTTCACTTTCAGATACAAGGTTGGGTTCTGGGGGCTTCTGGCCTGCCTTCTTCTTTTTGGCAGATGTTTTTGTGTTTGTTTCTGAAGAATGAACAGTTCAATTAATGGTTAACTGTCAAATTAATATAAACTGCTGACAGAAAGAGCAGTAAATTAGACACACCATCACACAAGACAATCACACAATTATTCTAATGGGTGAAATTGTATCTTATTGGCCAAGTTGTCTATTCAATTGACAGTGTTATGCCATTGTCAATTAATTTATATTGAAATATATATGCCAAGTAGCTCACCTCCTTCTTTCTTTTTCTTCTTTTTGTTGGACCTTTCTAGCTTTCTTTCTTCTTCCTCTTCTTGCATGGACTGCATGAAGTCGGCATAGGAGACAACTGTGGAGCTATCATGAGATATATCTGCATCTTCACCTTCTGTTTTACCACTAGAAACTGAATCCTCTAACATGGCAAAAGATGGAGTTTCGGCAGAAATGTTTTTGGTTTTAGATTTTTTGCCCTTCTTTGCACTTTTTGTAGCACTACCACTCACTGAAGGAGAAAAATCCAATGCAGTCTGCTCAGCTTTCATGGACTTTGCCTGTTTACCCTTTTTAGAACTTTTCTTACTGTCTTGTTTCGCTGTTTCTGGTGAATCAAAATTTGGTTCCAAATCAGATGGTTTTTCTTTGTTTGGAGACAGAATGAGTTTTAATTTCAATCCATCTCCCTCCTTGATAGTGACATTATCATTTTCTGATGAAAAGTCCAAAGGAAGAGGGGGAGGCATCTTTTCCTTTTTATTTTTCTTTTTTGAACTTTTGCTGTCTTGTTCCCCAACTGACTGTACAGAAGGAGAAGACCCCAGATGGATTTTGAGTTTGAGGTCACCATCGCCCTGTTTGGGATTTTCTCCTGGAGGATCAAATACATCTTCATCTGCTGGGATTGCCTTCTTACCCTTAGACCTTTTAGGCGTAATTGCATTTGGGTCAAAGCCTGTGCCAGGGAGCAGTGAAGACACTGGAGACTTAGATGGGGCTGTTAATGGTGGATTGGCTTTATTCAGCAACAGTTTGATCATACTGGGGCTGGTGCTTTCTGCTGAAATGACGTGTTCAAGATATATATGCATACTTGATATAACTGCAAGCCATCAATGTTTTATCATATTTGCAAATACATTAATTGTTGAAACTGCAATATTGTAAATAACTTAATTATGCAAATATGCACTAAATATGCACTATGTATCTACTTCCAACTTATTTTACTTTAATAACTAAACTTCATGTACACTTTTTTTCTATGTGTGTGACTACATATACTTCGGTACACTAAAAAAACTGAAAATGCCAATTATTTTTGATAATATCCAAACAACATTTTGCAGAAAAAATACTGGCATTCATTTTCCATTGATAAGCTGTTTAAACTGCATTAATCCTTAAATTGAAATACCATGAGTTGCTAATTCTGACACAGATGAGGCACTACTGTCACCACTTCTAGGACTTCTTGGAGATTGGGCCTTTCCTTTACCCTTCAGGTAGCAGAAAAAGGAAACAAAATATAAATATAGTATCACAAAACAGTTTCATCTTAACATGATATCACAATGGATCATGGTTTTTCAATACATAATGGCAAAGGTGTACATTATACCAACATCCAAGCATTTAGACTACTGGCATGTAAAAAATATATTTATAAGCATTTCTTAGTTACTTGAAAATGTTTTAAAAAGACATTCAATACAGACAATGTTGTATATCATGAGGAAAAACTATTAAAGCAATAATCCTGAGGGCTTACTTTGCCTGGTTTTGTAAATTCCTTTTCCACTTCCTCTGGGTCAGCATAGTCAATCCCTAACAGTTTGGCTGACTTCTTGCGAACCCTGCCAGATCTTGATATGTTGGTCTGACCATCTACAAACATTTGGCCTGGTTCTAAATCCCCATCTGTAACATATAATCAGTTGTTTCAAATTTTCGATTTTTTTTTCATTGTTAAAAGACAACAATGTTTGCAATTTTTTAAAAATAAAAATCACAACTCGTTCTTTCCTCACTTTTCTGCCTACCACCAATATGGGGTGCCAACAGCTAGTGCAGCGCCACTGTCACAAATGATTGCTATACCGTGCCAGTGCCCTGCTGCCTCAGAACAAAGCATTACATGCACTTCTTCTCCATGTTATTACTAACTGCTGGTAAGGTATCTGACTCAGATCAGTCTATGCAAGAATTAGTAAAGTTTAAATCCAAATGCAGGTCAAATCTGATGCCCATTATCTGAGACAAAGGTGATGATTATAGGAATTACAGTATTATTGATAGACCTGCGAATGAAAGAAATACAATTAATTTGAAACCAATATCAGTGAACTGAAGTGATTCCTTGTTTCAAAAGTACCTTCATCGTCTTCGCCACTTATCTTTCTCTTTACTCCTCTTTGTGACATATTTTATCGTGTTGAACATGCAAAAGTCACCGGCAAGTTGTAGCTATCTATCCGACAGCGGTAATCTACTGAAACAGATGCTTCTTTGCGGTGACTTCCGGTTGTTAACACTTTAGGATTGAATGTCAGTGTACTGCGGAACAACCAAAATACCTAACCGCTATAACACCTATATTTCATTAAATAAATTATTCATAGAGCCATAGTCCTCTCTTTTTAATTTGAAAAGCCATTTTTGAGAAAATTTAGATAAAAAGTGTTAATTTTACTTCCATAAAACTGCATCCATGCTTTAAAGTTTTCCATATCCGGTCGTTGGCAAGTGTGTTGCTAACCAGCCATCTTGACACACTTTCTACTGTAAACAGGTGCGAGGTTAACATTTTTACAGGTATTCGTGCCAAAATTGACTTTCGAGCAGCAATAGGACCCTTAAAAGTTAAAGGTATTTTGCAAAGACTGTTTTCGCATTCTTTAACGAAGTCTTACTCATCCCCATAAGTCAAAGATATGCTTACGATTAAAAACTTAACTGGAACAGTGCAAATGTTGAACTGTGTGTACATGTAGAATTATCTAGAAAGCAATACCGCCTTCAACAGTTTTTCATTATTTTATTTATTTTTTATTTTTGTGCATTTAATCTACCTCTTATCAGATCTTGCTCTTTATCTTTTTAGTAGTGCAGTTATCATGCCACTCATAGAGGAAATCGGTGATGATGTACCAATATGTGTAGAAGAGGGAAATAAGATTGAAATTAAGGACATTCAAGGGGAGGATGAAATTATGCAAGAAAAACTCAAGAAAGAAGGGGAAGAAGACAATAAAGTTAAAGAAAAAAGAGAAGAAGAATCTCAAGCAGGTAAACAGTTATACGAATTGACAATTCTTATTTATTTATTTATTGACTAAATTAGAGTCCTTTTATATAACTGTGAGCACAATACGGAAATGAACTGATCAGTGCCTCAAATTCAAAGTTTTTTTCTGAAAATGAATCAATGGAGTTTATGCATTTCAGAGAGTGTGAGCCAAAAGGATGCAGACACAGAAAAAAAGGAAGAGGAAAAAGACAAATGGCCAAGGTAGGATTATGCATCTTTCTTTTTTTTTTTTCACTTCAATTATCTGTCTAAATGTTAAAAATGTTAAAGTGTATGAAAAGTTAAATGCATAATCTTATGTCAATACTGAATTATCAAAAACGTCATTTGTAACTTTGATGTGTTCTCTTCTTAAAGAAATTGGCTATTCACTGATGTTCGCTGTGTTTTATCTGAAATATTTCTGTCAGTATTTAGTTGATATCCTGCCCTTGACTGAATAGTCAGACTGTAGCAGTATTAGTTATGTCTTTTATAAACACTTAAGCTGGATTCTTAATGGAATAGGTAAAGTTAACTTGGAGAACTATCTTCAGTTATGCATAGCTGTAAGTTGAAACCTCTCTCAATATTCCAATATCTGTCCCTTCCACTAGATATAAACAGTACATGTAAGGAGTTTCTCTGTTGACTTATAATATTATCTGGTAAATTAGCTCTACCTAACCCTGGTATCCCTCAATTCCATCATTTTTGGCACAGTTTCAAGCATATGCAATTTTGTCATTGATTTCCACACTTGATTTATACAGATAATACAGAAAAATAAAACCTAGTGCTAGAAGTCTAAAAATTAGACAAGTCCTGCTCCTGCCTTATGGGAATGACTAGCATCTGAAACTGTGTGGCTTATAAGGTTGGCAGCAGTTACATAAAATATCTATTATTTTGTTTATTTACTTTTAATTTAGATTGAATAAGAAGATGCTAAGGGATCATTGTAAAGCACTGAAACTCTATCTTACACCTGAACTCAATGATGTTCTCTACTTACATTATAAAGGTAGGTCTTAAACTAAAGGTAATTTTTACAAGTTTGAGTACTTGCTTATTATTTATAGTGGTTTTAAGAACATCATTGTCTAATTTGTTTATTACTGAGTAGTCGGATTTTGATTTGTCAGAGAGAGAGAGAGAGAGAGAGAGAGAGAGAGAGAGTAAAAAATTACTTGGGCAGAGAGCATATATTTAAAGACTAGCATATCTACAGACTGATATCCTTCATTTTGTAGGCAGTGCATGAACATTTGTCCTATTTATGATTATAGGTATCTTCAAAATTGAGTCCCTTGAGGAGTACACAGGCCTTAAATGTCTGTGGCTAGAGTCCAATGGAATAAGTAAGATCGAAAACCTTGACCACCAAAAAGAGCTGAGGTGCTTGTACCTACATCAAAACCTGATCAAGAAAATTGAAAATCTCGAGCCATTGCAGAACCTTGCCACTCTGAACCTTAGCAACAACCTGATCAGCAAAATTGAAAACCTCTGTGAGTGTATGCTTTTAATTTAATTTATAGCAGCATGCAACCATGATAGGATATGTGGAAGTGATACTACATGTAAAACAATTGACAGCGTATAAAAGATGACACATAATGTCAGAAAGAAGTTATAAGAAAAAAAAAAATGATATAAAAATAACAGCATCTATAAGCTGGAATGGTGGAAATTAATATTTTGTCAATAAGGAATTTTGTCACTTATTATACTAGTTTTTATGTATATTCACTTTAAACTGATTTATTATTGAAGCAATGTTTTATTTACTCAGCTTGCCTGCCACACCTGGGCACTCTGCTAATCAGCCATAACAAACTGACAACAGCAGAAGACCTGGAACATTTGGCTGAGTGTGAGGCCATCAGCAATCTGGACCTGTCCCATAACAAAATTGAAGATCCTGCCTTCTTAAAAGTGCTGACTCAAATGAAAAGCCTGAGGGTACTCAACATGATGGGTAACCCAGTGATAAGGAAGATAGAGCACTACAGAAAGACTGTAATTGCCACACTAAAGGAGTTGACGTACCTGGATGACCGGCCTGTGTTTCCCAAGGAGCGGGCCTGTGTGGAGGCATGGGCTGTAGGGGGAAGGGAGGCTGAGAAAGCAGAGCGCGATAGATGGGTTGCAGAAGAGAGGAAGAAAATCTCTGACAATGTTGATGGTAAGTGCAAGGTCGGGTCCACAAATATGCCTATAGCCCCACAATTGGTCTAAACTTTTAGACCCAGAGCTAGTTCGAGTTCAGTTAAAGATAAATAGAAAAGCCCATATAAACAAAGTGGGTAGCGGTCTGAAACCTTACCCATCTTTTTGTTTTCTTAAACAGTGTTTTCTTTAGTTGGACAACTACCAATTTATCTTGAGTCAAAAGGTAAAAAGTTTTGGTTCATAAGTTTAGGCAAGTTTTCATTTTATGGTTCTTTGTGAAACAGACCCAAGATATTTGTAATGCACCCTACATTGTGCATCCTTAGTTCTATCTGACGTATGTGAATTCATGTGATATTAAATAAATTGATAACTTTGAATAGAAAACCAATTCCCAATGTACATTTTGGAGTTGTTATACCTTGAAGACAAAATTATGGTTCACCTTAGAGAGGAAAATATTTTACAACTGAATATATGCTATATTGTTTTGAGTTGTGATCATAATTTATCATTTATCAATTCACAGCTATGATGGATATCAGAAAAAAAGCAGTGGCAAAAAGACTGGAGAAGGAAGTTCGTGAGAAATTAGTGGCTGAAGGGAAAAGTGTAGATAATGTGAAAATAGAATGTGACTTGGACTCTATTGACTGGCTGTACGGATCAGGAAATGTTACTGTTACTAGGGAAGATGGCACACAGGAGACCATCAACATTAATAGGGTAAACATGAGTTCATTGCTTTAAATTAAGGCATTTATTTGATCTAATACTACTAATGTGTAATTTAAATGAAAAAAATGTATCAACTGTAAATACTTGTACATACTGCTGGAAAATGTCTAAGCCTTTTTGATTCATATCTGTTGTAATAAAATTTGATTTATGTCATTATTATTATTATTTATTTTGGTTTCAGAACCCTCCAGAAGATGCTTCTGAGCAACCTGCAGTGAAGGAAACAAGGCAGAATGACATATTTGGGGTTTGTAAATTGGTTTCAATTTTTTTAAATGTGAAATAGAAATGTTAATTAGAAAAAACGTGTAAGTTTTTTTCTGAGAATGAGAAAATTAAAAAATATTCAATTCAAAAATCTTCATTTAATAGCACATGGTAGTAATGGAATGGTTTTATATCAGATTTGTTTTTATAATTTACTTATCTACTTCAGCAAGGTGATGAGGAGACCAAGACTGAGACAGAAAATGCAAAGAACATTCAGTGCTCAGCAGCTAGAGAATCACAGGCAAACCAGTCTGAATCGGGTCATCTGCAAACATCAGAAGAACCAGAAGAAATTCCTTTTATCAGACCAAATAATATAGAGGAAACAGGCTCCATATTCACACGCGAAAAACAAAGTTCCAATCAGAATTCCACCAATATGTTCATTGAGGAGATAGTTTCAGGTTTGTCTTGTTTATGAGTATTAGCTTTGTTTTAGGAATATATTGAAAATTATGAAAAAATATATTTATATGAAGCTGCAGTGTAATATGAAATTAGTCATATTATTGTATACATGTTTGTTATTTAAGAATGTTGTTAGATTTACTAGTGGTGTCATTTCTTATTGCAGATAACCTTAATGCTAATTTCTCTGTTTTTCTGTTGCTATTGTTTATTCTCTCTGTTTACAATAGGGTGTGTTGCTGAACAACCAGAACCAAGGAAGAAGACACTGATAACAGAGCTTCCAGATGAGGAGTCTATAGAAACACTTAATATTGCAGGGGACTTTGAGATGGAAGTAAAACAAATATTTTATTCTATTATCTTTGATATTATTTTAGATACATAATGCAGACATGACTAAATATTTCACCAGCTAGTTTATAGGGTTTTTTTTGTTCTTATTCTATAACAGAAGGATAGACATTCATTTCTAGTTTTTAAATAAATCCTGATACACATGTATTAAGATAAATGCTTTCATTGACATAGTTGCAGATTGGATATTTAGATATTTGCAACTTGACAAAGTTAAGATTTTTGGCTATGAGACCAAACAGCACTTTGGTATATGTCATGATATTTATGCATTTCTTTTTTTTATCATTTGTAGGATATTCCAGATCTAGAAGATGTTGATGAAACAGGTGAACCAATCCTTACAGATAAAGAGGTGCGAGTACTTACAAGGTGTTTGTTTTTCTATAAGTGATCTAAATTTTGCATTGATTAAGTTTTAGCTTAACTGATGAAATGTTATTATTTTTATCATGTGTTTGAAGATAGAATCCCTTTTCACAATTTTGTATTTTTTAAAGGAAACTGTTTACAAGCCCAAGATTGAAGTTCTAGATGGAGATGAAGACCTAGACTGGCTAGATGATTTATCACAGGGAAACAAGCCAACAGAACTGAACACAGACGATCCTGTTTCTTCAAAACCCATACAAATGTTGGTAGAGGACATAACCCCAAATAAAAGTTCAAGCAATGAACAGTCCGAAATGGCAAGGCAGTCAACAGAATTATTGGAAAATCTTAGTAATATCTCTCAATCAAAAGTTGGCAAAAGTCGGTTGATGGACTTCTCAAAAGAGGAAGCAGAGAATAAAACTTTGACAACAGAGCAGAAAATTCAAAGGCTTGCAGAGAGTGTAGGAGAAACAAAAGCCAAACCCTCAATACCCTATGATCCAGAACTTGAGGGCCTTGACTGAACTCCCTTTATATTGTAATGTATATAGTATAAGCTAAAGATTAAAAATATCTTCCGTCCTGTGGTTTCAATGAAACACCTCATGGATTAGTCACCTTAAAAACTTTATGTATACAATGATTTTAATTTCATGCAGTTTTTACCAAAATTCCTGAAAAAAATTTTTTTTTATGTAAGGCCACACTTTTTTAATTTTATNAATGGAAAGCATTTTTCAAATGAAGAACCATGTTCATGTTTGTAAAAAGTGTATGTTAAATGAAAGAATTGAAACTCAATTAGGTGCTTCTTGCCAACTTGGGAGAGAAATGAAGATGTGTTGATCTTTTTCTCTGCACAGCTATTCCAGTGTCATATTAATTTACTTTGTGTCTTGGAGAACAATATTAGAAGAAAAAAGTGTGTAATTGTTTTGTGTCCACCGAATTTCAGTGTCAGTTACAATATTGTATGTACCTTTTACACGTGTGTAACCTTTTGTACTTGAATGGGGAAATTAAAACAACTGTACAGAATTTTCACAAAGGAATAAACAATTTGGACCACTTATAAAATTGAAATTTGAAACAAAAAGGGTGATCAGTGTGTCTACCAACCACGAGTGTGTGAAAGCTGCATCAAATACAAGAAATTCAATGTGAGAAGCATTGCACTTTATTTTGGGGGGATAACAAGTACCAAGCAACAATATACAACAAAGCCCCTGAAATGATATACATTTACTGCCCATTTTACTCGTGTTTTTACATAAATGTACAAGTTACTACAGTATCTAGCAATTAACAGCACAATCAACTTGGGAATTTTAACCATGCACAGTGCATAAACCCCATAGTAATATATATATATATATATATATATGATGCCCAAATTCAACATGGAGAATGTTTATACAATTGACTTTTGGAAATAATACATCCATTTAATAGAAAATATTTATTCAGAACTGTAATGGTGATGATGCCTGGTTTTTGCAGAGCGAAATAAGACAGCTATTCACAGCTTGGGTTTCTGAAATACAAAATGCCTCATTACTTTTCATGCTTTTGTGCATGTTCAGAGTTCTCCCCTCCGAAAAATCTTGGTGGATGATTATACTGAAATCTAATACTTGCAAGAAAAATGTCTAATTTGTAGTGAATTTTTCATATTTGGCATTGTTAAATAAAATCTGAGCACCATATTATGTGTGACTGAAGTTTAACCACTTGGAACTTAGCATTTCAATTACTTAACATGATTTAATTAATGTTGATGGTTGATATGACAGCAGTAAATACGATTCATATTTATGCATCTAATAACTATGAACAAACATATCAATGTTAACAAATTCACCTTAAACTGATTTTTCAGATATCAGTTATTGTATGAATCTATAGAATCCCAACATCTACATGACCTGTACCAAAACCACAAAGAGCCCCTGACGACTCAAAATCTGTGTTTAACAAAATGTTGTGATATTATTTACCATTGGGTGTCTGTTTACATATTATTGCTTAATAATAATAATAATAATAATAATAATAATAACAAACACCCCAACATCTGTGAAAATAATTATCTACACTGCACTGTGCATTTGTCTGCTTTATTCTACATCATTCTCTCAATCTTTTAAATCCCATTGCCGAATGCCTAAGTTCTCAAGATGTACTATTCACAGTCTTGTTATCACAAAGACAGGAAAAATGAAAGTAACTAGAGTATTGAAATATGGTACACCAAGTGAAGTTCAAAATTTGGCAACATCCAACATATCTACATTGATTTTGTAAAACACATAGGGATAATACTCTTGTGATGCTAGTCCTAATCCAGGGATGTCAATCTGAAAAGAGAAAGAAAAAATAATCTTTAGTGTAATGTCTCACAGATCATAATTTTTACTGAACACATGAGATGAATATCTTAACATCTATCCAAATTGTGATTTCATCTTCACATCTTAAAGAAAGTAATGTACATTGAACACAAATGAAAGCATCTGCACCTCCCCCCCCCCCAAAAAAAAAAAAAAAAATGATGCCAAAAGAGAAAAAAATGGATTCAAAAATAATTGATATTAAACTGATAATTTAATAACTGATATGAAAAGAGGGCTTTTTACCTCCTTTTCAGCTGTGTATGCAGTGTTGTCTAGATGGGAATAAAGCTGATTGAGGACATCTCTTAACCTTTTCATGGTCTTTTTATAAGGGTGGAGCAGCATGGCTTGGAAGTTCACTGGCAATCCATACCTGAAGGGAGGAAGCATTATACTTAGTCATGGTCTATCTGAATTATGTTATTGGTTGTATACAAATGTGTAACTTGTAAACCATGGTAACAGATGTAAATTTACTGAAATAAACCACACTCTGTGATATCATGTGACTATTTTAAAAAAAATGATGTCAAGTATTATGTTTTTATCTCCAATCATGACATGAAACTGAATGTCAGAAAAAATAGGTTTGGAAAACTAGATGTTTCTTATACATGTATGCATGAATACCTCAAAACTGATTCCACAAACACTCTCAAAGCTTTGACATGGATCCATGCAGTGAATGCTTCACTGAAGTTCACCTTGAGCCATCTCACCAATGGGCCCTAAAATAGATTAATACATTATAATACTTGGACTAACCAAAAATAAAAATGAAAATAAAAAACAAGTTATTTACATTACTTAAGCACAATATTATTTGCAACTGAAATATAGCACCTTGCTTTAGTCCAATATACCCACACATCACACATTTCAAAATACATGCATGCTCTTAAGTAATACTTTAAACTTACAAACTGCCTCTTTTTATCAGCTTCTAGCTTCGAGATTTCATTTTTGCCAGCCATCAGTTGTTCTTCATCATAAACAAAGTCTCTCACAATAAACCTAAACAGGCATAGGTATGCTGGATTATTCATCTTCATATTATCCTTTCTTTTGCATCAATAAACATAGACAACACCCATAAATTACTGGCACAAGTTTTATTAATTTTTAACGTAAATCAGTTTTAATGTTTAAAATATGTTCCAAAGTCTGCAAACTCAAAACAAACAATTACAAAGCTGTGACTACACCTTCACTTACTTGTGCTCCCTGCAGTGGTGCTTAAACTCGTCAACAACCCTCTTGAACAATGTCACAGTAAACAGGCCATACTCATTATCCTCAGCAAGTAAACTGGAAAAAACATGGAGTCATAAAATATATATCATTCAAGTTGTGCAGAACAAGATGAATCCTAGTGCTATACAAAAAGAGCCTTCTTTTATAAAACCTGAAGACCCTTTGCTATTCTTCCCTACCTGGTTGATCTAGGTACCACCATATCGGTCAAAGTTTCGTATTTCAGCTTCCATTCGGGGTAGAATTGTCTGAAATATAGAAATGTACAATATAACTGTTGATGTTTTAAATTCCCTTCATGCTTTTTGATGATAAAAACCAAGGTCCTTTAAGGTCTTTCTTTACAAAAATGGTATTGTTGTATTGAAATACCCCAGCCACAAACAAAACTACCAGAAATAACAGAAATTAGTAAAGCATTTGGAAGATAGATTTTGCCATACTTCCTCAGTTTCTCAAACAGAATACAATGACAAAGAACCCGAGATCTTTTAAACAGTCATTTATATGTATCTGCAAGGTTATTTCAGAGAGATAAGTTTTGTACAAAGGATATTTCATTTTCCTTACACTTCTTAACCTCTTTCTATAATACAGGCAATATCCGAATGAAAATATATTTTCTTACTTTGGTACACAAACCACAACAGTCTGCAAATACTCTGAAGACAAAACAAAGTCCTCCTTCTTCACCATGTCACCTATGTTTCTGGTCAGAAGACTGCCGCTACAGAAATACAAAGAAAAGAGAAGGTTATTCTCATTCAATGTTGGGGTGTTTCTTTCAAAACTGAATGCAAATAAAAGATAGGTAAGCATTTAAAAAGCAACTTATATGAAAAAGCAACTTATATGGAGTCAAAAAATATATATCATTCAAGTTGTGCAGAACAAGATGAATCCCAGTGCTGTACAAAAATCAAATAAGAACTTAGCATATATGACAAGGCATTGTTGCACTTACGTAGCTTTCCTTTCTAATGACTGTAAATTTTGCTTGAGGTTGTTGTAGTTTGATGCTTTTGATTTCAAGTCCGAGTCAATCTGTGACACTTGCTGTTTGTTAAAAAAATGAATGAATATTGTAAGTTAAACTTTAATTAAATATATGTGTGTGTATGTGTGTGTGTCCGTGTGCATGTTTTAGTTTGCATTGAATTTTGATAACAAGATGAAGTTAATTAACATTTTGATTAGTTTCTTAAAGAGGCAAAAATGAATATAGATAACAGTATAAAAATTCTTACTATTGTAAACATGAATTACAATTTTCTTAATGGCACAAGACCTATACGTTTCACTCTTAAGAGAGGAACCAATGGCTTTTTCATATCAAACTGCAGTAAAATGTTATTTTACCTTGCTTATAATGTCAGCTATATTTTTCAGTGACTGTTTGATGGGGTATTTAGCCATGTCCCATTGAAATCTGGTCAAATAGGTATTCAAGTCCACTAAAAGTAAATGCATTAAGGGAGAATAATAAGAACTGAATCTTACCATAATTAACTCCCAATATTGGAACTTAATTAAATCAATTAATAGATTAATTAATAAACATATGAATGAATGAATGAATGAATGAATGAATGCTAATCTGCATATTGCATAACATATATGGTGCATGTATAATTTGTATGACATAAGTTTAAACCACTTACTCCCGTTAGCAAGCAGGTTTTCTTGAAGCTTATCACGTTGTTCTTCCAGAACATCTCCAAGGTACTGGGCAACCTTCCTGGCAATGCTGTAAGTACATTTCATCTGCATAAGTAGACCTAATGACTTTGTATAATATTCCAAAACAGAAGAAACCTAATGGTTATTTTCCTACAAAGGCAAACCAAGTGCAACTTATTTGCATCTAAAGATTTTTACTTTGAAGTATCCAGTATATATAATTATATAATTAAAAATTGCTCTGAGCCCTGACAAAGCTGATCCTACCCTTCACAAAAGGCATCCAGTTTCCCTAGATCATCTGACATACCAACCAAAACATCAAGAGTGCCAACCTTTGAAAATTGAAAACAATAATAATAATAATAATAATAAAACATACATTTGTATAAAAATGGAAGTTATATCTTGTGCATTTGGATAATCTTTTACACTCATTTTAGTCAAAAGATAAATCAAACAGTTAAGTGCCAGTTATAAGATTACTGATTACTAAGATTTTCGCCTTTGGAAACTTACAAATATATCTCCTTCAGCTATGGCCTTTATATTGCAACATATAATGTCTGCACAGTGAACTGTTCTTTTTTATGCTACATTTCATTAAAATTCTACAACTGATATTGACCTTTAAATCTGGAATGTTCAATTTGTAATTGACTGAAAGGTTTTGTTGCTGAGACACTTCATTATTGAGTTTTTCCCACGTCTGCTGACAGGTCTTCTCTCCTGGTGCAGAGATCAGCCAGTATTCTGTCATCGTTAGATGGTGAGCTTTCACAATCCAATAAATATATCTGGGAAAAAAGTAGAAGAAAGGAAACAACATAAAACATAGTCAGACTGGTTAGTTTGCAAAGGCGTCCTTGCATAGGCGTTAGTGCTGTTGACAAAAATGTAGGTAAAAGATTTGTTATCTAACTAACCAACATTTTACAGTTATGAATGTCTGTATCTTTCATGCATTAGCATATAAAGTACATAACAGAAAACATTAATAGACGGCTAACGGCAGTAATGCCTAAAACTTAGATCAGTCTCTCTTTTAAGTTATAATAATTAAGCGGAGAGAGACAACACAGGTAACAGCGTGTCGATGAAATATTCTTAATCTATTTCTGAGCTTGATAAAAACAGCATCTTCATAAAACTACAGTGTTATCTGCAAAACTAAGGGTATTAGCGTATAGTAGCAGTCAAAATATTACTGTCAGCATTGGAATCGAGTCGGCAACTCAGACAGGACGATGCCAACACAGTATCCGAATCGATATTCTTATTAAACGCAACATTTTAAATTTGTCAATCCCATAAAAACTTACCTATGTTATCTACGGAATAGATGGGGACAGCGGAATAGTCCCTGGCCTCTTACTTTTAGGTAGATCTGGAGAAGTTAAGAAAATAAAATTTTCTAGATGTATCGGTCAGCCATTTTGACATTTCACGTGATACTCGTGACCTTGTGGCCTATTTAGCTAATGCGCATGGTTAAACTGTAGGTCACTTCCGCAAACAAAGACTGGTTGAGAATGAATGAGTACACTACATGATGCTTCTCTAACAAAGTTAGAGTCATGGGCTGTAGCAGCAGCACAGGTTCAAATGCAGACGATGGAGGAGCATATAAACCAGACGTGAAAATGACTGTTGGTTCCCAGGTCCGATGGCAGGAAAAGTGCCCTCGTTTGATTTTCCTACTAGGTACGTACCAAAGCAGCGGTGGCACTGGAAGTAGATTGCTCTTGGCTGCTACTGCTAGTATTGCATTGCGCTATAGTAACTTGGCTTTAGAATAGACATTGCTTTTTAAAATAAATAATACTCGTCAGGAAAATAAAAATGCTCGTTCACACCTCCCAGTCAGTTTAAATTAGCAATGATGCATTATATGTAGTATTTCCATGTGTTCATTCCATCAGTCAACTTCTTTCACTTAAGTATTAATTAATGATTGAATGTTGCTAATTAGTCATTGCAGTTTAATATAACTTATCCCAAGGCTAGTAGAGTTTAGATTCATTGTGCTGGTTAAAATGCTGATTTTTGGACTGTAATAGGTTCAAGTTTAATGTGTACAGTTCAGAACAAATATTCTAAATGATTAGATTTGTTAAAGATGATATGCTTTAAATTCCATAGAAAAATATTGAAATAAGTTTTGAATTCTATAACAGTCATAGATCTATCTTTTTTATTTATTATTTCATAGTTTTCACTTCTGGTAATGGTTTTGGGTGGAACTGGTAACAGAGGAGGTTGGTTTGGAAAACAGTTTTTCACACAGATTTGAATTATCATTTATTTTGATAGAAAAAAAGAAGAGGGAGTGTGAGGAAATTTGTTTGGCTTTTAAATTGTCTTTCTTATCAGTTGTTATTTATTCATTTTTAATGAAGAAAGTTAACGGATGAAAAAAAAAAAAAATAAAGTCAAAAATATAATGATAATGGTCAATCCAATATTTTTCAAAGGCAGATTTGATAAGCATAACATGTTGTATGTAGACATGGTTTTTATCCAAGAGACATTCATTAACTTTTGCATGGTGACAACTTTCAACTTAACAGTTCATTTATCCGGCTTATTACTCTTGATGCTGCCACTAATATTGCAATTTATTTTGAATCGATTTTTTTAGACCTGCTCCCAGTTATCCATACTAATGACTATCATCAGCAATAACAAATTACATACTATCATTACAACAGAGGCATTCATTGACTTTCTGTAGACTCTCAAATAGCTTGACTGATTGACCTTTTCAGCTCAGTTGGGACCTTGTGTTGATCTACACTTGTCTCTATTATTTTGTTTCTCTTGAGGTGAATAACAAGCAACTCAGGCTCCATCATAAGGCTAATTCAGTCATTAAAACTGATGTTGCTGAACTCGATTACTTAGGGTTTGTGAAGAACTAGACTGACACCAACTGAAGATAACACTTACCAAAAGCACCAGACTTCTTATATAACATATACTTCCTTAATCATATTTAGGTAGTCAGAAGCACTGATTGTGAATTAAAAATTGGAAATGGGCATTTCTTTACAATGTCCATGTTTTAGTGCTTTAGACCATCTCCAAAAACAGTAAACTCAAAAATAATTATAACTTCCTAAGTGCCATGATTCACTATTTGAAGATGTGTTTCAAGCCTTTTGCAAAAAACATTTATGGTATATTTTTTCACCTTTGGAAAATTGGATATTTTTGGCACAGCAGAACATTGATTTTAAAAAACCCTTATTTCAAGAGAGAATTGCAAGATAAATGATGAAGATCATATGGCTTGTTTCGGTAAATCTGCTATTGAGCCCATTGCCAATACAGGTGGTGATGCTTATAAATCCCAAGATTGTGTAACAGAAATAAATTAGTTTTTTATAGTGCCTTGGATAAGATTCTAAGGCTCCTGGGAGGTAAGGTGATGTGAAATTTCTTGCCTCACACTCAAACATCTTTTGTCCCCTTGATTTTTAGTCATAGTTCTCCCCAGCTCTGGTCAACTATCATAAAGTTTTATGGATGTAAAACTAGAGAAAACATATTTGAGATGACTTGCAATAGCTTCATTCTGTTGAAATTGAATTTATACCAGAAGCTTTGTTGTGCATAATATGTCCATTGTAACTGTAGGTTTTCAACCATATAGTGCATGAAATCTCATGCCATTAGCGCCCTGATGAATTGCCCATCAAATAATTTGACAATAATGCACACGCAAAATGGAAGTCATTGAAATATGCTGTAGAAGTAACAAATTGAATGTATGGATTTGGTTGAAAAATATATTATTTAAGCATGGCTTAGATATAGATTTTTCCCCATGGTGATAATGGTTTGCCTAAATCTTTAATGCTTTGATCACAAAGTCAGTTGACAGGTAATGAAAACAGAGACAATTATTATCAGGATAAATAGTTGCAAAGTATTTCAAATTTTATAAAGACAATACTTTTTTAAAGACTTACACAAGTGGAGAAATGCCATATTTCCTAGCAGATATAGAAGATGTGAGACCCAACCTCCTGAGAGAGTCTAAAATTCATTAGGTTTCGTTTTTGCTCAAAGCAAGGAGGAGGTCGGTGATGGAAAAATAGGCTTTGTATTGTTGACAGCATGAAGACAGATACTGTTTAGTATCCAAACGCCACTGCCTCTGACTTTCAGATATTGTCACTCCTTATTTACTGTCTTAAATACATTCTTTTTGGTAATTGATAATTCTTCAGTGTTCAGTGACTGTATTAATTAACATTTACACGCGTCATCTTATGGGTAACGTCATAATTGTGATTTTGGGGTAAAAACTGAAAAATCGGTTTCTCATATTTCTCTTTTACCTGAGCACCCACAATTACCATTTCAATGCCAATTTAATGACACTATTTAGTACTCCAAAACCCTGCCAGCAATTTTTTTAATGTCTCATTTCAGATTTTATCGTTGGTAAAGCAATATAAAGCCTTTCTTTAATGAAAATATGTAATTAGGGGCTCATTACTCCATTACAAAAAACATTTAAACCAAAATGAGGGTACAGGATTGTAGCCCATTCACTCGTGGTCCCTTCTGCCAATTTTCGTGATAAAATCTTGTTCATGAATGAAGTTACGTCCCTTGCTATCTCACCTCAAAATAGATAGGTGTTAAATTGACGATGAAAGTTTTCAGTTGCCTATGCTTACACATTGCAATGAGAAATATAATCGCTGATATTTTATATTTTCAAGGGTTTTTTCATTGTTTTAAATCAGCACAAAGATAGATGCATAATTGAATGATTAGATGCATGAAAAATCTCATTTTCGGTATCTGAATGATAACAAAGGGTAGCAATATCCTTAACTAGTGCTGTTTACACCTGAAATAACTTATAGTCCTGATATTGTCCAAATTGGGTCATTTCCAGACAGCCTGTTTCCCAAAGGAACTTAGGGTTTGGATCTTACCTGAGACTGCCTTACTCAGGACTGAGGTGCCAGACTAAGTGAGGTTACGGAATGTTGAGCTTTTTGACTAAGAGTGTTGCTGGAATGATAGAAAAATGCCTTAAATCATTTTTGTTGGTTATCAAATAAATAAATAAATAAATAAATGCATTTGCACTATTGTATGTTTTCTAGTTGATTCGTTTAATTAACAGAGGGAAAATAATTTTAAGCTTTTTGGTTTGATGCAGGCAAAAACTGATAAACAGCAGAAAATTGCAGAAATCATTGCCCTGAAACTGAAAAAGTACATGAAATTTTTTTTGTCTTTAAACTGTTCTTAAGTATTATTTACTTGTGTTTTTTTAGTTAGTTAAATTTTTCTATTAAGGAAGAGTTTTTCAATGTTGAGAGTATGTAACTGCTTTATCACTGAAAAAAATTATGTCACAGGATGGAATGAAAACCTGATTGAATTGGGACATTATTTAACCCACAATACCAGGATACAGTTATTTTCCAAATAAATAAATAAAATGTCAAAGAATACCCCTGTATTTGTGAAGACCTCAGTGTTCTTTATGGATACCATATTGACGGTTCATTGTGTATGTTATAGTATTAAATGTTCAGTGATAATCTAACTCATGCTTGATATATGACATTACTTTCCCATTACAGTAGTAACATTTGACCGTAATATGATCATTATAGAGCAGTTGTCATATGGAACCTTGTGATATAAAGTGGTGATTCAGGATGAGATTTTTCCACCAAAGTTCAGCTTATTGATTCATGCGTTCATGTGGCATATTGGCTTTGTGGTTGAAAAAAATGTGTGACCCAAAAGCTCCCTTGGTAGTAATTGTGCATGCAGATAATATTATCCTCATAATTCATTGATACACATTACTTATATATCATGAAAATTTTCAGTGTATCGGATATATTTTTATAGAGATATTATGTTTAGTTGTCAGTTTTTATTTTCATAGTGAAATGAAAATGTCTATTTATTCATATATTATTGGTGTTTTTTTCTTCATTGTCAGTAACACAGGTAACAAAGTATGACAATACTGTTTGTGTTCTCAGGTGGACCTGGCTCAAAGAAAGGCTTTATAGTTGACAACCTGGTCCAGACTTTTGGCTTCAAGTTGGTTAGTCTGGAAGATCTCATTCTCTTGGAACTGCCAAAGAAACTCAAGATGACGAACCATGTGGATGGAATTGATGACATCAAGCAGATTGTCAGGGTAAATTTATCTCCAAGTATATCTATCTTAAAAGATATTATTCAGAGCTTATTGAACATGTTGAACCAATATTGGTTACTCAAGAAAGCAGTTCTGATGAACCTCTTGAAATGATGGTATAAGACAATATGAATGCTTCATGTGATAATGATACTTCACAGCCATATGTGCATGCAATTGTTTGCCTGAGTGTCAGTGATCATTAGGATTTCAGTGCATGGAATTTCACTAAATTAATCATGCTTATCATTTTTTTTCTGATTTTGCTTAGTGCATTATATAACACTTGCCAGCATATACAGCTATAGTTTTTATAATGGTGCCATATTCTGCCAATGTTATCATTGCAGCAACAAAGTAAATATTTCACTATGTATGCAAAACATCATGTTTTATTTAATGTGTATATCAAAATGTAAATTATCATTCATCTAGTTGTAATGTTCAAAGACAAAAATATTAACTCTAATACTGGACTCTTACGTAGATCTGCTAGATGTTTTTGCATAGACTCCAATATTTTGTCTTGTATTACAAGGACATTTTCAGGGAACTGTCACTGCAGGTGACACTGCTGGTGGTATTGTAGTTGTCACATGGCAGTTGTCATTTCCAGCTACACCATGTGTGGGACCAGGCCCTGGTCATGTGACGACTGCAGTACCAGCAAATAAAAGACAAAATGCTGGAGTCTCTGCAAAACATTGAGCAGATCTGTATGAGTGTCCAGTATTAAAATTAATATTTTTGCCTTTGATTTAATGCGTATGTTTCTACCTTTTTACAGCAGGTGGCCTAGACAGCGCTTTCTCAGTGGACTGTATTTTCAGATGTTTTCTTCAATTCTGCCCCTGGGTAGAAGCTAGCTCTAGGCCAGTCTTGCTTCTTTTACCACTTTGAGATCTTTTGGGACAGCCAGCTTAATTTCCCCTTCCCCCACTTTGTTTTTTATATGATCTGGCCAATCTTTGTCCCCATTGTTTTGTATTTCATGACTGGGTAAATTTCACCTTCTTTTAGCTTTATCATCGGGAAGTAGACAGTCACCAATGCATTGAAAAACAGTCAAAGCAATAAACGAGTTAGTTAAAGAAAAGGCGACTTTGCAATATAACCCAGCCAGACCTAGAATATTGCCAAGGTTTGCAATTAAGCTTTCTACATCCCATAGTAGGTGTAAAACGGATGGTTCTGAACATTAGCGAAGTAAAGCAAAGCCAGTTTGTGCAGCATTGTTTGCATGCAAGGGTGGTGTGGGAGCCAATTAAAACAAAGGATAATCTGTTAGTCAATAACAGGATAGTGTTCTACTTTTAATGTAAAAATTCAAAGACAGTTCATATCATGCATAGCTTTAAACAGTATGGGTGTCAGATATTGCAACAAGAGCAACTTTTGGAAATGGCATTGCTCAGTTTGAAGAATGACAGAACTACCTATCTATATAAATTGAAACAGTTTTTGTGATATGTTAGTAGTTATGTGTGGCAGTAGTATTGATTTGATGCCCAGGGCTGCTGGACATGCAATTTTGCCTGAATCCGATGAGTGGACAATTAACTGGCTTGTGACTTTACAGCTTATTTCAAGTGCACTATATAACAGCATTAAGTTTTCTAGGAACTGGTGTGGCTGACGTGAACATTCCGTGATCACAATGCCATACTCAGACTGTTCTCTGAGTATTTTTAAATGAACATTGCTTTGGGGGAAGAAAGTTTATTTCAAAATGAAGATAAATTGCCCTGTGTGGTATACATAATTTAATAATGGTAGAGGCACACAAGAAATATGGTTTTATTAAAGAAGGGAGATCTTTGGGGCGTAATCATGCAGGAAGTTAGGCCGTAGCAAATATGTCTTCTATCATTCAAATGTTATATAGCCGCTTGTATGTTGAATTGATTAATTATCAACATATCTTATGATTAATTTTAAAAAGTGTTGATAGTAAGCCATTAAGATGACTTAAAATTACAATCCATTTTTCTTACCATAATCTGAGCACACCAACCCTGAGGCTGTGACATTGGCTCTCAGATGCACAGTCCGTAAAAGTAATCTTTATAAATTGCCTAATCTTTTCTTTTTCTAAACAACAGATTTAAATGTTTGGAGCATTGTGATTTGTTACCAGGGATAACTCGACAAAAGGGAATATTTACCACATTCCTGTGGTCTCCACAGATTTGAAGAGGAAAATTGGTAGAGATACGGCTTTCCATTAATACATAGGATATTAAAACATTATTCTCAGGTGTTTTGGTTGCTTTAGACCAGTGCATTAAGTATTAACTGGTTGCCTTAAGCATCAAATGTAGTTATATATAAATAAGCATGACCAAAGTGAACTGTAATGCATTACTTAAGCTCCATAACGCTTGACAATGTCCCTATGGCTTTTTGAATAGGAGGCAGTTTCCTGGAGGAAAGTAGTGAACAGACAATAGTGCTTATGTGAATAAGTAGGAAAAAGGTTGGCTGAAATATAAATCTGCTGGAGTAATGATACTTGGAGCTCTTTTGATAAGTAATCAATATATAGTGTCTTTATTATTGAAGACCTCCAACTGTAAGCCCATTATGACAATCCTCGGGTCTGATGCTTATTTTCACCTCTGTACCCACATACTTATTCAATTCATTATACAGCTAGAAACAATTTTATTTGCATAATTCTAACATATTTTCCACAATAACTAGTAATAATTTGTTGTTTGCAGCTCTAACCTATTATAAAATTGTCTTGACTCTATTAACAAACTATTAACAGCATTAACAAACTAGAAAAATGTCATCTAGAATCATGAAGTATTATGTATTAGTAATTACATCTAGATGAGTTTAACTTATTATTATTATTATTATTATTATTATTTATTAATTTTTTATTTATTTTTTTTTTGCACATTAGGTTGGCTGAGTTCAAAATTCAGCATGATTGAATTATTTTTGCGAAATTTTTTTCACAAGCATTTCTGTGATGTTTTCCTCATAAGTGCCAAGGTCCAGTTTTGTTTTACTTTAAATTTATTAGGTTTTGCTAGGCAAAAAGACTTGTTCAGTTTGAAAATTAGCATTATTGCTTTATTTTCACAAAAGATATCAGCATAAGACCACAGTGATGTATAAACTGTTGAGTACAGTTGATTACATTTTAAACATGAAAGATATGCTGATATAGCAAAATTAAATGTATATTGATGATTTTAGGCCATACCTGTTATTATTTTATCTAATATTATTTATTTAATTTTAGAATTTATCATTGAATCTGTTTCTTTTAATTTCCTTGTTTAATGTCTCTTTATATTCCTTTCTGGATTACTGGTTACATTTTGAATGATCAGTGTGTTTCTGTAGCACATCTAGGATCCAAAATCTTCTCCTCTTATTTTGGATCCTAGAGAAAATTGAGCAAGCAGGAGAAGTCATTATTGTTAAATGTGCATGAAATAATGTTGGATCAGACAAGTAAAATTTTATTTTATCAGTTTTTTAGCATATCCCCATCAAATTTTAGAACTAAAATGCTTTGCATAAGACGCTGATATTTCTTAAGGCATATAAAGCACCAAGGGGTTTTAAGAAATATCTACATGAGAGTGTGATTTTTACTTTTTTTCCCCAGTGGAATCTTAACTGTAATCATGGATGTCTCCTCTAAAAGGTTTTGGTTATAATCTGATTATTTTTGATCCCCACCTGGATTGAATTTGGTCCATTTTTTATTTAAGTTTTCTTGCAACATAATAAGTGAGTTAAGACAGTAGCCTTGAGATGATACCTTGTAGAGATTCAAAGATTTGGTTGTTATAGTATTATAATAATGGTGTTTCAACTTTAAGCATTGGATTTTGGTGGTACAGTTAATATAATGATGGTGATGACATTCAATTTTGCCAAATGACTTTTTATTAATGCTCACTGAAATATATTATACAGTAATATTCTAGGAAATTGGTTTGAAAACCAGTGTTACGCTAATATAGAACATCATGGTGTAATCAGCATTACATCATAAATTTCAGGCTGGCAACTTTGAAAACAGACGGCTTTAATAGCACAGTTTATTAAAAATATAACGCATGCAGTGATTTTTATTAATACAGAATTTGTGTATGTATTTTTTTAAATAATAAATAAAGTGAAATATTCGCAAAATTAAGGAAAAGATAGAATGTCACTTTTGCTAATGGCTTCTTATGTCAGCTCCTCAATCAGATTTGACCATACAATCTGATATACCAATGACGTCCAGACTACATATGTAGATATAAATCAAAATACACACTTTTCAGGATAAGGAAGTAGAATCATGTGGTGTTTCTCTTTTTTTTTCATCCCACCAGGATAAGCCTTCACTCCTTTCACTGTCTTGGACTCTGGAACATCTTGAACGCCATCTGGAGGGAGATCTCCAAGCCACTTACCTGGTTGACGTCATTCCAAATCTCAAGTGGATGCTGCTGTCAGACACTTTAATAAAGAATCCCACAGATGAACTTCAGGAGCTAGAAAAAAAGGTGTTTACAAAATGTCTAGGGTGAAGTTTTCGTGGGGATAACATGCTGGTTCATCTGTGAGAGTGGAATATTTGCCAAATGAAAAATTTAATCAGTGGGCATAATAAGTTTCATTTGGGATGATTATTGAACAGGCATGCAGTGTTGTAGAAAGGAAATATCTCCTTGATCTAACGGCAAAATGGAAAATAAATGCTATTGTGATTACACAAATTACTTCATTAAAATGGAACAGTAATGCAGTGAAGAGATGCTAAAATAACTGTTCAATACCCCTACGTTTTTTGAAAAGAGAAAGCAAAGACAGATTACAAAGCAATACCATTATATTTTCTTTGTGCTTTTGCAGTACCCTATAGCATTTGCTCTAAACCTTGCAATCAAAGAGAGTGATGTTATAAAGAAAATAAAGCCTCTCCCTGCAGTAGGTGAAGTCCAACCCGCAGAGGGTCAGCAGACGGACGAGGTCGATTCCTCCAGGACAGAGGTAGGTGTATTGACAGGAAGGGGAAGAAGTCAAGGCACTGTACTGTTAAAAAGTCAATAGCAAAACATGATAATGGATATTGTGTGAAATGCCATGTGTATTCCTACATCATCGTAATTTTTTTCAAAACTAAAATCATTGCTGATGATTGTATATCTTATATAGTAAAATGATAATGTTTTTTTCCTTTATTACCGTACTTATTTATCCATTTATTTATTTATTTTTGTTAAAATTGTTTATAAGTGAAAATATTATATAGTTATGTGCTGCTGAAATGTGTACCTGGAAATCAGTAATCAAATTTGATTATGGTGATATTAGTATTTGGATAACAATGATTGTCACTGTGTCTTTGTATATTTTAGAAACGAGCTAAGCTTTATGAGACTTCAGCTAAGTCTTGGCTTCACCACTTTGAGCTATCTGACAGGCTGGTTTCTATAGACATGTCTTCAACACAACCACAGCATGTGTATGACAAGTTGAGACAGTTTTTTATAGAACTGGGAGCAACCTCAGTGAGGACTGTAAATTCTATAGTTTTGTTTGGTTTTGGTAAGTTTTATTACCTATATAGCTGCAAGGTGATGAGTTCATTGTTTTCATCTCTGTCTACTAATTGGAAACCTTGAAATAAAGGGCTTTTTACTTTGGTTGTGGAAAACAAAGCTATTTAAAGACCCTTTCCTTTCTGTATAACTGAATGTCCTAATCCTGTCCTTTTTTGTTAAGCCAGACATTTTAAGATAACATTCAAAACTAATATGTGGTTAATGCATACTTTGAACTTCCATAATCACATCAGCCCTTTTCCTCTTGCAGCTAGATTGATCACTGTGCATATTTTATCCCAGAGCTTATTTCCTCTTCATGGGCAAAAAATATCCTTAATGATTTCTGGTTTGACTAATGATTCATGTTTTATGTGCTTTAACCTACCCCATCGGATCCAAATAGCATACTCTCGGAGATGGATTAACATTGAAAATCTACCCTACTCCAGCAGATAGTCCAGTGATGCCCCATCAATTTACTCAATAACACAAGAATAACCAAAAGAGCAGACTTCTTAGAGTAGCATGAATGTTTTGCATGTTATTTCTTAGAAGTGATTTGTTTGTGATACCATTTCTTTTGTAATTCTAGATGAACAGGAGCTGTCTGATGTGAACATTGACTATTATGGGATGTCAAAGGTGAAATTACAGTCAGTTGTTGCTGATCCTATGGCTTCCACAGTAAGATATACATATGTTTACAGATGTACTGATGAAAAAAAATGAAAATAGATTTGTGAGAGAAGATGGAATATTATTTCTTACATTGTTACTTTATAGAAATGCTCTATTTTACACCTAGAGAACATTATGCAGGGACAGACGGAGGCCGTCTTCTGGGTCTTCAGGAAGACGGTTAGAATTTTTAAAGTTTACATTGACAGGAATCTAAATTTTCTGTTGAAAGATGGTCAAAAATGGAGGATGGGTCAACAAAGATAATTTGGAAGATTATCAGAAAATATCTCTTCTCTGAATTGACCAGGATGTGGTGTCTCTTCCCCCTGAAATAGTTGGAGTGTAAAATTTAGGAAATGTAGCCTGACAGAGGCATTTTTTTCTATTAACAGAAAGCATTTATGCATAGAATGAGTGCTCATGAAATGGAGATCAGCCTGTTGTATTTATTTACATGGTGGTTTGCATTTATGAATCCTACAGGAAATGTATTGATCGGCCACAGTGTACAAGGGAAGTGGTGCTTAAGCAGCTCAGCAGACATCAGTTACACGTTGTCGCGGTAGTTGAACATTGGGAAGAGTAATGCAATAGTAACCAAGTTAATTTGGCCAGCATTTGTACTTTTACTGAAATAAGCATGTTTTATATTGTCTAGTGAACATTGTTTTGGCAAGCTTATCATGGAATTGTCATGGAATTAAATTAGAAAATTGGCAGACATTACATACCATTTAGGATTTCTGTAGAAGTGTGAGAAGGTATAGTTCTCATGGATGAAATCGCTTTGGAGATAGAAATGACAACTTTTCACTAAATATTTTATTGAAATTCAATGTAATAAAATTTGTTTAATGGTAACACCCATTTTAATGAAACGGGAACTATGGTCAAAAAGCATTTAAAATATATTAATTATAGTTTTGTGATTGTCTGATAGCCCAATTGTATGTTTTTGATATGAACAGTTTTCCCTTTTAGGAACAGCTGATATCAGACTTGTGTAAGCACCTCGAGAACTGCACTGAAACGGAATCATTTGCAGTAGAACTGGATGGAACGTCCATTAAGAAGGAGGCTAGTGACAAGGTATTGTAATTTAAAATCTGTCAAAAGCTTTCTAAAGAATAGCTTTTCCACTAAAAAAATGATTATAAATGCATTTGATGTTTTTTTTTCTCTGAACAAAAGTGCAGCCTCACTGCAAATTGGTTTTATTGTAAATTTTTTCCTCAATTTATTCCCATTGGTACAAAAGGAATTTGCCTCTGAATGTGTTTGTACAGATGTGATAGGTGAGATAGATTTTCCATTGTTATTAATCATCATGTGAATTGTTTATCACTTGTAAATTGGGAATGTTATTCCTATTTCTGCATAGCATTATTCAGAAGTATTTAATGTCAAAAAATATAATAGATAATAAGATAATATTATTTGCCACATTGCAGCATTGCACCTAAAATGTGATTGGCACAATTATGTGGGTTCATTCCAGTGTAAAGAATATTGGCGAAATGCTAAACATAATTTATTTGACAAAATAAACTAAAGAATGTTTGAATTTTAAATTTTTCCCCAAAATTTCTTTCAGTTCTTTTTTCGCATATTGAAATTGCCTAAAGAAAATTGAACCTGGCGTGAACCCATAGCTGTTTATTTACTTTCTTGAAAATTGCTGAATATTTTTTTTATATATTGTATGATTAGGCTAAAGATGTAGCTTGATTTCACAAATGTGAATTTTTTGAAAATGCATATTGATGAGCCTCTTTTACTATTCCAGTGTTTAGAGAAAGCTACTCTTTTCCTAAATGATATTGAGCAGACAACGTTGGATTCAGTTCTCCACTGTACTCCTAGTAAAGGCAGACCTCAAAACAATAAAAAGTTCAAAGCTATTATGTCAACAGAAGGGGACATTTGTCTTTTCCCAGAGGACACTCATAATAGCACATGTAAGCATATAGCACAATGTATGGCCAAAGTGAGACAAAGATGATGGATGTCGGAAGAGTTGGGAAAAGATTGCCTGGAACAGAGATAAATTATCTCTACTTGCCTAAATGTGGTGAAATGCACAGGTTGTCAGTGATGCACTCCAAGGAACATGTTGAATGAGCAGATTAAACATAAACATATATCTCATCAAGATTTGACTTAGAACTAGAAAAGCACTCCAAGACCGCAGACCTCCACCAAGGCAGCAAAGTCTCCACCCAATGCCGTTTCACCCCTAAATTTTCATTGTATAATGATTTAGTTTTTTGATTTTTGATTATTGATTGATTATTGATCCGGATCACCACCAAAAACTAATCATCTGTTCCTTGGCCCACTTCTGACAGTTCCTGAAAATTTCATCAAAATCAGTCTTTTTGAGTTACGTTGATGACAGACAGACAGACAAACAAACAAACGGGGGTGAAAACATAACCTCCTTGGCGGAGGTAATAAAAGGAGTAAATTTACAGCATTATATATTTCACGTTACAAAGCAGTGCTAAGTATAATTTTATGAAACTGAAAATATACATACTTAGTTAAATCACTCCTCTTGATGCTCATGTATAACAAAAGATTTAGCAAGAAGACACCAGTTGCTTAATTCATCATCACTGCCTTTGTTCCAGAAAAAAAAAGGACACCAAACAGAGTAACTGATATTTTCTATCTTAATGTTAAATTTATGGAATGATGGGGTAAAAAGTCACTGACAACTCTATATGTATATCTATATATGCAGGGTTTAAAAGGTATTGCTAATATACACTTGAATCAATTTACAATATTTCTAGTCACAAATTTGCAAGTCAAAAAAATGCTTATACACTTTTTTGAAACATTTTGTATTTCTTATTGTTTGTCTTTTAAAAAGGTCAATTTTTATTAAATACATGGAATTTATTTTTTGAACATTTCCATTTTTTTTTTTTTTTGAGAATGTGAATTGTGCTTTGTAAATGGGTATCATCCAGAATTGATACCTCATTTTCAAAAAGAATCTGATATGTGTATTCACAAATAGAGGCAGAGAAGTTTGTGTTGGTTTTTTTATATTATAAAATCAATCCAGTGCATTTAAACACACATAACCCAAAAAGCATTTTAAGCTTGTTAAGGTGCTGTTGCCATATTAGGTTGGGAATACACTGAAATACTGTTTTGCATAACCTGCATTTTCTTAAGCACTGTACTACTGAAGTACTGGGTAGAGTGTGCAGAGCAAATAAACCAGTCCTTTATTACTACACTAATGCAAGGGTGAGATATTGCTTTTTGTATTCTATTCTTTAAGTTTCATTGAAAGTTATAGAACACAGAAAATGTAACAATATATAGTTTTTTTTTAAACTTGAGTTATTCATTTACAACAAGTAAATTTTTACATGCCATTGATTATTTATACAGACAATCAAAACTGTTTATTTTGCCATTTAGCTAGTCACCCCTGGTATTAAAACTAAATCAGCGTACCATAGCAATTTCACACAGACACAGAATTATTGTAGATGTCACTGGGTCAGTTTTATTTTATATTCTTAGTTTTGTATTCCTCAGATGCTGCAGGGAGTTTGAAACTCCTTGGGTGCTGGTATACTTTGATCTGCAATTTTTTTTTCATTCATTGAGTGTGGAAATTAACATAGTATTTATTGGGAATTGATGGACTTTCCTTTTTTTCAAGCTGTGTGTATTCCAGTTGAAGCACGTATACTCAGTATTTTTTCATGTGGAAGTTGTTCTATTATTTTTTCAAAGAAAGGGTCTTACATTATACGTTTGCATTATAGGGGGCACTTAGATTTTAATAGCTATTCATATATATTGAGTTTTCATCATTCAAAGACCACCATTAAAATATATGATATATATGGTAAATCCAACAGTCTCTTCTTAAATTTTCTGAAATATCCATTTCTATTTAGGTAGTACATGATCGAATTTACACACAGAGAGCATGCTTGTGTTCATTTGTTTTGGAGATATTAACTAACCTTTTTACAGCATTTTTTAGACATTTAATATCATAGATATTATTTTGCATTCTTTTTTTCCTTTGGTCATTTATATGAAATACAATTTTCAAAACAATATATGTTTGAGGTCTTAATCTGATGGTCGAGGACATAACTTACACTGATGTGTCAAGTAATAATAAAAACTGCTCCTTTGTTGTTTCTTCATTGCTGGGGGTGTTTTTGGCACCTTAATTTTTAAATTTTATTTATACAGTTTAATTTCAGATATATTGGAAATTATTGTCTGTACCTGAAATATCTTACCTAAATCCCAACTATTTGTGATATCCATTTATTATTATTATTTTTAAAAGTTTCTTTCAAACCCATACTTTGGCTTAATTTATACCACCTTCCTGTTACCCATTTTTCTGCTTAGCTTACCTTTATTTCCTTGAAACACATTTTAGATTTTATTGAAAGTTATTGGACCAAAAAGGTGAATTAAAGAGAAGTGACAAAGGAATCCATTTCATATTTTCAGTAAGATGTCATCTAACCATTGCATTTTCTTCATCTTTTTATTATCCAAATATGTTACTGTAAATTGTTATGGGGCAAAGGTTAATCATTTCTTTAGAAATTTAGATATGTCAGCTGTCTCTTTCTGTTTAAATAACACACACACATAAAATTTATGATGAAAATATTTTCTTGCATTGAGACTTAAGATTAAAAACTTACTTTTCATAAAGATTAATGTGATACTGGGGAGTGTTCAAAAGGAAAATGTTCAAATATTTGCTTTTTTGTGACCAATTAAGCCTGGGAACACCATATTTAAACCAATCATCAATTCATAAAAGTTGTCAACAATATATTTCAACATAAGAGTATTATGATAAAATTTCCTTTTTACATTTATATCCAAAAAGATGTATGATATGGTATGCCTGGATGACAAATGAGTCAACTCAAGACAAGTGCCCCTTTCTCTTTCCTTGCCTAATGTGTGTTATGAAAGTAACCATTATAACTTTTGATAATGGTGTTGCTGATACAACTGTTTAGGACTCAAGTCTGAGAACAAAAATCACAATAGGATTTATAAACATGAAGTTCGGCATACTTCATCCTTTTTAGTTAGTTATTTTCATACTATCTCTATAATCTTCTGTTTCTTCTCTCTATCTTTTAACACGGCGGTGGGTGTGGTGTCCTGAAATGCCCCCTGGCGAGAGGCCATATTTCATGTGACGTAGTCACGTGACCCGTACACGCTGCCATATTTGTTGTCATTGCAGACACGCTTATTACCGTGGTAAGTCCTGGAGGAATAACGTCGATAATAATGAGTTCGTATGTGCCAGAAGACGCACCACAAGTGCGTTTATGTCACTTGCGTAAATGGAGTGACTTCAACGGCTATGGCTTTAATCTCCACGCTGAGAAAGGAAAAGCAGGCCAGTACATTGGTAAAGTGGATCCGGATTCCCCCGCAGAGGCGGCACGTCTCAAAGAAGGGGACAGAATCGTTGAAGTCAATGGAGTAAATATTGGCAACGAGAACCACCAGCAGGTCGTCAGCAGGGTGAAAGCTGGAGGGGATGAGACCAGATTGTTAGTGGTAGATGCTGAGGCGGATAACTATTACAAGGAGCATAAGATTGTCATCAGAAATGACCTTCCCTCAGTAGTGGTATTTGCAACACCAGCAGACCGCAATAGTAAAGGTAAGCTTCCCTGACTCATTTAGCCCCAAACTGAAGGGTAAGACGGGATCGAAGGCTACGCCCACAATTCACCTTCAGACTTAAAAAGATTCACACTTTTTGAATACAAGCAACAAGTGTCAGATAGTGCCCAAATGCTATTTGAAATGGCTGGGGAGTGGTAACTGTTGAGTAAACAAATAAAGTACTGAGGGCAGATTTTATCAGAAGATTTTATCTGACTAGACTAGATTGAGAGTGGGTGTTCTTCATTTCACAGCTAGTTGACTTATCCTGGCTACTCAAGCTGGCAAATCCCTGTTTGCTATGTTTTTAATGTAGTGCCTAATGGCATATTTGCTGCAAGAGTACACTGGAAAAATAGCAATAAAAAGTCAAATATAGCACTCTTAAAGCAAACAGTTAGGATCTCTAACCCATAGTGTTCAGGATCCTTAAATTGTAACTTGGACAAATAAAATGAGTTATTCATCCCCAGTTGTAATTGGAATATCCCTTCCATGTGTGCCACATGGGAAGTTTGAAGTGAGAGGTTAATTAATTGAGAGTGAGATGATATTATATTTCCCACCCCAAAGGCACAAGTGTACTCTTTTTCCAATTTGTGTACCCACATTAAATAAGGGTGTCATGATACAACCTGAATATCCAAGTAGTTTTTCCCAATCAACTCAAGCTCGATTAAACAGGTGTGCTTAATCTTAAATTATTCTCACATCCCTGGGGAGTGAACAACCCTAGCAATTGATAAGGTTCAACTTCTAATAAATGGACCATGACCAGAAATTCACCCTACCTTTTTAAACCTTTTATGAGGAGATAGAAACGCCTCTTTCAGAATGAAGTTTGTCATTCCTGGACTACTAGGGAATCATACCTGTGATTACCAAAGTAAAAGGGACAACCTAAAGTTTTATTATAATAATGATGTATTGGGCACAGAAATGTTATTACAGTTTAAGGTTCTCAAACTACTATACAAAATACAGTGTTATGCAACATGCATTATAAAAAGCTATCAGCAAGTAGATAAGACCCATTTATGGTGACTTTAAGTTTTATCGTCTGCTGTATGTGCTTCTTTGAAGGACAGGAGATCTGCTGGATCTGTCCACAAGGAAAGTTTTCAAAACTTCACTGGCAGAGTAATATAACACCTTCTTTAACAGCACACACTGAAAAGGCACCAAAAGCATTATGTACAAACAATACATATGGCACCTCTCCAGTTGTCTGTAGTAAGGAGATGACAAGGTGCTGGATTCACACGCCTGTTACACCAGACTAGATATGCAGGTATGTTACTCAACTGGTGTGTGATTGTGGCCTGCCTATTGAATTGATTGGGTCGATAGAGATCAACCAAAATAACTATTTGTTTGTTTTTCCTCTTTTTTCCCCCTAATTTCCCCCCAAAAAATGACTTTGCCATGCCTTATCAAATGATTGTGGATTTTGGAACAAACATGCCAATCTTCTGCTTTGAAGTCCATCAAACAGTATAGATAAATCCTGTCTGCCTTGACTCCTCAGTTACCTACAACCTTTTTATGCCTCCCCCCAGCCTTATATGGCCCTACCTCAACAAAGAGGCTTGATACCACTGCTTAACGTGAGAACTTTTTCCATAGTTTTTCTGTTATGTGACAAGAGATAAGCGAGTTGATATCTTCCACAAACATGGATGTTTCGGTGACTTGGTGATTAATGAACTGATTATAACTCATCCGTGGTGGTGTATTTAGTGCCTAGTCTAGCATACTAGTCTATCAACAAAACATATTGTGACCTCAGCAGAGAAAAACAAGATTGACTGACCTGTTAAACACATATTTTATTACCCCTGATATGGTATGGGGGAAGCCATTTAGTTTTATTTAACATTTTTAACACGTCCTGAAGATTTCTGATTATTTGATACTTGTCCCAAATCTGTAGTGGCCAAGTTCCAGTAATGAGCTACTAGTGATGAGTGGATACAGCTAGGACTCGGTGATTGAGTCCTAGGATAAAGTGGTAAAAACATGAGATGTTATTTCTGTGAAATGTATATATTTGAAATATAATATACACTCTTTGCTTAGATCGCTGTAAAGATAATTTGTTTTAGATTTGGTCAGTAAAATCAATTTTTTTTATCGTATTGTAAGTAGAATTTGGTATTTAAAACTTCCTGGTACATAAAAATATGGTGACAATAATGATGATAAATTGAGTTAAAAGATTTCAAGTTCTTTTACAGAAACAAGACTAGGGGATTGATCAAATTTATCAGAAGTGCCTTGCTGTGTATTTATTTACAGAAACAAGATTAGGGAATTGATCAAATGTATCAAAGAAAGAAAAAATTGGAAAAAAATAAGCAAAACTACAACCAAACAGATAATGGATATTTACCCTCTACCAGTAGGGCCAACTGACTGGTTTTTCACTAGATATTCGCAGATAATGGCTCTGGCTAAATATGGTCAGTCTTTTAACTGGCTGGTGGAAAATGTGCTTCTACTATCTGCTGTCCTGGTAGAGGGTAATGGCTATTCATCAACTGAAGTGATATTTTGAGATATAGGCTTGATGCATTGGCTCCTTTCTATTCCTTTAATAATTTTCATCCGTGAATTAGATATAAATGCAATGCTGAATTAGATATAAATGCAATGCATGCACATAATTATTATTGCTGGTTAGTCAAGTCCCCTTGATATTGAGATATGTGACTAAAGTGGTCACTCTTTAGGTGTCAGTGATTAGAACGATTTGAAAGACATTTGTCTGCTTATCATTTCATTGTCTTTGATGGTTTCCTATAAATGATCAATGTAACTTACACTTTGTCATGTAACTTAAGTGTACAAGGTTTAGCCTTACGTGTATATATTAACTACTTGGGGCCAATAATTGTCACAGTAGAGGTCTTAACTCACACATACAAAGTTTGCGTATTGCCTATTTGTGGTATATTGTATTCAAAAGATGGATGATGTCGGAATGGATGGCCAGGATATGGCAAACAATGAGAATATTCTGAAAGGTATTTGAATTAATTTGAAATAATTTTAATGAAACCCTTTGGTTGTTGTTTTATCCTATATTGCACTATATATCCTTCCTTTTTTAATGCTCAGGCGACAGCAATTCATCAGTGGGATGGAATCCTTCAGCGTCATCTTCAAACAGACATTACATATTGATCGCCTTTTAACCTAGCCCGAGACTGATATATTTCAATTGAATTTTGTTTCCACTTAGTAATTTTATTATGGTGAAACTTAGTAGTATGGTGTTATTGTGAGTTATCCATATTACTGAAATAGGAGAAATAAGTTGACTGATAGGCTGAGGATATTTCTTGGTAATTGCACCTATCAGCTCTTTTATTTGATGACAGTCATGAAATGATGATTATGATTTTATGAAACAGTTCCTCCTGTGGGTTGGATACCTCCTTCTAACTGAGATGTTTTAAACTCTCAGAAGGATACTTTTTGAGATGAATAATAAAAGGCAGATCTGTGAGATTGCATTTAGCATTTGGAGGCTGTTAGGGGACACCAATTTGTGTGATTGATGAAATGGAAACAGCATGTACATGACAGATCATGAACAGCCTGCTGGTTCCAGTAATACCACTCCAGCAGCCCTTGTTTTACATCTTTTCAATATATATTCTTGTTAATACAGACGCACAATATAAATTGTCATTGCATTGATTTGTTCTGTGCATTTTAACTATTCCTTACATTTTGCTGAATGATGGTCTGAATGTGATTGATATGGAAATGTTTAGTACATATTGTACAACTTTTGCTCTGTTTTAATTTTATTAATCGCACTTTTCTTGTTGTCAGTGGTCTGTTAAAGAAGCATGATTGAGTCCATTTTGCCAAAAAGAAGACCTGCTTAATATAATTTTAGTAAAGGTGCTTATCTGTAGGAGTGAACTTTTTGTTAATAATACCATTTCAACCCACTCATCCATTCCACAGTACTTTGTGTGGTTTTCCTATCCCCCAAGTGACAACGCCATAGTGCGTGCTCTGTAGCAGTGGTAGTATAAGTCATGTCTCAGAGTTCACGTAATTTGTATACTGTCCCTTTGTAGGAGGTAATGAAGGTGGCGTAAAACTAGGCCCCACCTAGCAATCTGGACTGCACGGCCAATACTCTGACCCTTAACCTGTCTGACTCACACCTACTACTGCCATAATGGTGGGCCACACCTACCCCCACAATTCTGTGACACATCAAACATTGAACTTCTACTGAAGTTATCTGATAAGGCTGCCAGTTATTACTGTATATATACAGTTTACAGGTGCTTGTCTATGAGAATAAACCCCCCTGTCTGCTGGCTTGGGGAATTTGAATGTTTACTTTGTATGGTTAAGTTGGGTGCAGTGAAGTACGTATTTCAGTAGGGTGCATAGTTTGTGTTCTCAAGCTTTGAGCAGAGAATATACACACACCCGTCATGTAATTGTTGGGAAGCAACTTTTGTTAAACCCTACAGTGGGTGTAGCAAAATGAGTAGATTAAGTGCTGCTTTATTGACTTAATGCAAGGCGATAACAGAATTTTAGCGATGTGTGTACTTACAGGGTGTATTCGAAGTATTAAAACTTTGGATCTTTGTGCTTCCTTTTAATTTTGCTATAGAAATTGAGTGCCAAGGCTTAACTGGTTGCTGAAAAAAGTTACTGGAATTTAATCATGGCAATAAAACTTGATAAAAAATCCTCCCTTGTATAGTTCTGGACACATCATCTGCTTTGAAATGTTAGACTGTTAGAAACTTAATTCATCAAGGAAACAAACTGAAATTTCCATAATACGTAATGAGAAAAAAATGATGCAACTGTTTAAACACTTAAGCCCCCCTTTCCAAAATGATGACATGGATGGACTTTAATATTATTTAGAGATAAATATTTAATATTGTATTGTACGCTATCTGAATGATAAAATGGAGTGTTGTCCTTAATTTGTGTCAGTCATACAGTAATGTCCATAACTGCCAAAATAGTAGAATTTGATTCTTTATTAGTCGCAGCTTTCTCATAATAAATGTACTTAGGGTCAGTGGGGAATGTTTTGATGGAACACCAGTGTGAGTTTTACCGAGTTCAGCTAGTGCGAAATTCTAATCACTTACAACCCATACAGAAATCACTTTCCCTGATGTATGCAGTGAGATAAGTGTTCATTATTATACTCGTTGCTTATGATTCCTATCCTAACTTTTCATTATTAATATTATCATATACATACAGTAGTTCCATTGCTGTACAGTTTTTTAGACCAATTCACTATTGGTGTGATAAAAGCGACACTTTAATTAGAAAGCCATGGGGTATTTTGACCAGTTTTCTTATCAGAGCTTTCTGCCATTGAGTTTCTTTAGTATGGCTGTGATTGATTCTGTGAACCAGGAAGAAGTCTTTTGTGTGCTTGCACAGTATGTTCAGTGAAGAATTTGAAAAGGAGAAGAAAATTAAAGAAAGCAGTTACATCAGACAACATAATTGTGTTACATATACCAGTCAGACAGTTGAACCAAAATGGATATTTGTTTGTAAATTGTTGGTGGATGTCTTCCCCCCCCACTTTTATAGAGTCATATGTGAAAAAATGTGGATATGAATAACTCGCATCTTGAAAAGTTCACTCTTTTGTTCTGACACACAAAAGAGTCGAAAAATGGGACTTCAGGTGCAACCAGGTATGCCAGAGACGCAAAGGGAAATACAATCCAGGTCCCTTTGACTGGGATATAAAAACATAAACAGACCAATTTCAGTATAATGTGCTTACATTCCACACTAAGAAACTCTTTAACATTATCAAGAAGAGGAAATGAAAATAATTATTAACTTAATTATTTCTCAAGTAGCAGTGATGAAATCCTCCTTGGTGTATCATAGGGAATTCTATTTGCCCAATGTTGAGTGCAGTCTGTATAAAACAACATATTTTTAAGCATATAAGCTGTATAATCAAATAGATCCCTCCATGAGGTTAAGTCGTCCACTTTCTGTACTATCATAACACAGTATCAGAACATGTAAAACTAGGCCCATTGCACACAGCTACTACTAGTGTGTAATATTTAAATTGTCCATCTTATAAGCTCACAGCCTGTAATGTAATGAAGTTGGCATATTTAGTCAAGCTCAGCAGGTTTCTCACGTTACCTGACTTTCAGTGGTGACATTGACCCTTATTCAACTAGTGATATCAGAGTAGCCTGTAATTTTTCTTCCATATTATATGCAAAAAAATTACAGGCTATTCTGAAGTCAATACATTATTTGTGATGAATACTATTTTGATAGAGTTACTTTGGTAATTAGATAAGGTAGTAGTGTCCTATGCATCATAAGGAAGTGCTTTTATTCCTTGATTTGGCCATGAGTGATATGATATCCATTATATTGACTGACCAATATATGTGGAATCATATTTTAATGCTGGAAGCATGTGGATGGGCATATCAATAAAAAATAAAAATTTGATCAAAGTTGAGATAAGTCTGCTTCTTCATTTCCTCTTTGCACATCAGGTTTTGAACATTAAGCAAGTAGATTTATCTTAGGAAGTGGAAGGCGCATTCATTTGTCACATTTCCCCATGTTTTGTAGGTTATACCGTCTTCAAAAATAAATCCTCTTTCAATAAATGTGCTAATAATTAGTAAATAATGACTTGAAAGCATGTCAACCGTCTGTAGATGTGCTTGAGAGACTGTTGCCATATTTAAAGGCAACTCTTCATAATAGTGAAGCATGCCTTCACATCTGTTTGTGGTGGAACCTCATGCATAATTCATGGCCAGTCCTGAGCGGAATTCTAGACTATAAAGATTGTACTCGAGAATAACATAGTTGTGCTTACCAGTTTGCAAAATAAAAATAAAAAATCCGAGCAAAGTTAAATGCAGGATTGCACAGTGCTGTGTTAAAAAGTAAAACCTTGTTTTAAGAAGAATTGCGGAAAGGAAGATATATAAAAAATACCTGCATGGTGTAGTTTTGAATTCTAATATTAAAACACCCAGTGATAAGTGAGCATAGCCAGGCCCATTTTCCAGTCTCCAATGTACATGTAAAACTTGGTGTTTGGATTGTTGATTGTTGAAAGGGGCAGTAGAGATGACACACCTGTACTCTAGATGTTGATAAGGATGGGGATTTGTGTGCATTAACAGCCTGTACAAACACTGCACATGCCTTAGACTCATGTTGATGGGTGTATGTATGTAAGAGATTAGATACACTTATATCTGTAGACTATACTGTCAAAGAACATCATTTTTTTCAAAGAATTCAAGTATACTGTATTTGTAGTTCCACTCAACTACCCTTTTGTTATCATGGAATTGTACAATTATGAAAATTAGACAAAATTATGTATCGAATAAAGTACCAGTAATATGTGACATGTATTTTTTTTATTTTGCTGTTTAGTTGGCCATTTACTAAGTTTTCTTTTCACTTGAACGTCAAATTGAAGCCAAGGTCACACTGTCGCAATGCTGAGACTCAATTCAGTTTTATCAGGAATTATTGGCTCACGATGAGTGGTGGCACTAGACCTAGTTTCAAGGACATGGAAGGATTTACTACAATTTCAACCTGTTAGGGTTCAAAAATCAAGTGCAGAATGGTCCAGAATGGCAACAGAAATAAATGCCTTGGTTTATTGCAGTCACATTGGTTTATAAAGTACTGTGGTAAGAGTACAATTGATCGGGGCAATGATAGTGTTGAAAATGGTACAGATGTTTCCACTGTGTCTGGACTACATGGCCGCAACATTGAGGACAATTTACATTTTTCCTACAGTTCCCACTATTGTCCAGGCATGGCCATGAATGTGTGACCAGTGAAAGAACAAATATATGCAGATTGTGTCGAAGTTCTATTACGGGTTTACCACAACATGTCACAGCCACAAATGTTTCAAGGTGTTCAGTCTGAGTACTTTCAAAACATTCTTGACTGTTCATGGATCACTGTGCTTCAGGACTGTGTCTCCCACACACGAACAAAATTATTCCCCTGAAAATATTGGGCTAATTTTTAGACTGGATCAGAAGTAGTACAGTGAATAGGTTTTATAACCTATATGTTGCAAATTATTCAGACCAATACTTGATTTTAAAGGGACTACCATGACTTTGTTTTGAACTGTGGTAAACTTAATTCTTTAAAAATTGAGACCAATGAATCTTTGGGCTAATATTCTTTTGTGAAAAAAAACTTCCTCTGGAGGAAGGATCTTAAGGAGCCTTGTAAGTCTTACTTAAATACACTAGGATTAACCATGATTTGTGGAATTCAGAAAAATTATCATCAGAGAAAAATTATCATAAGACCTGTGACAGTGTGACCTAATTTCAGTGGAAAGTGTGATAAAAAATGTAGATGCAACAAATTATACCTTTTCCTTCTTTTCTTGTAGAGCCATCTACCAATGGTGATGCAGGAGAAGTTGTGACCAATGGAACAGCAGCAGTGATTGCTGCAGAGACATCACACACTGTGGAGGTTTGTATTTGTCGTCTGATAAAGAAAATACGTCAATCTTATCGTAAGTGTTTTAAAATTGTAAGCAGAATGCAAAAACAGAGAAAGAAAACTTTCCCTAATTGACAGTGATTGTTTTGATCGGCAGTTATTGACCACTGACTATGTAGAACTATAAGGACTGGTGGATGTGACTTTAGTCACTGGCCAAGTAATGGTCGCATGTGGGAAGCTCATCATTGTCTATCTAAATGGACAATGTTAATAACTTTTCTCACCTAAGATCCCATTTGAATGATGAAGATGACATCAATTTGTCAGTGATATGGGAAATTACTGCTTTGAGATGATAAATGGGTTATTATGTCATACATGGCTATTATTTCCATTTTTGGTAAATTAATCCTTGCTGTAAAGGCATGGATTTGTACAACACAAATCTGAATTTATTACATAATGGCAGAACTTTTTCAGTTTGTATATTCCATATGTTATTAAGGCATCTGGAGGGGGGGGCACTACCTAAAAAAGAGATTTATGTACTTGATATTATGCTTAATTGCAACACATTAAATGTCATAGAGGGGAGCTTGAATTTTCCTGCAATCACATTCTAAACTTGATAAGTTAATGATACCACTGTGGACACACACACACACACACACACACACACACACACACACACACGAGAATAAATTTTCAACCCCCCCCCCCCACCAATACCTTTATTATATTTTTGCTGACAGTGATAATCCAATTGTTCAATTTTTTTAAATCAGCAGGTTAAATGTTTGAATTAATTCTCTTGATTTAAATGGTGCTAAATATCCTTTTATTCCAGACATGTCGATAAAGGTGATAGTGAAATTTCTTCATTTGTGTTACTAATAATGAGTTTTATAACTTTTGTGCACTTTCATTTACTGGTTAAATTTTCTTTCATAGCAGAAATATGTTAAAACTAATTTTTGTAAAAACAGCATGTTTATTTCATGGTATTACCATATTAATATATACCCTTAGAGGGTTTATTTCAAACTAATACGTGTGAAAGCAATGTTTTGAAAGGTGTAAAATAACATAAATCACTGTAGATGTCATTTCACTCTGAATGTAATCTGTTGATGCTCAGGATATGTATTCAGCAGAAAATATCCTCAGTGTTAGCTTATATGTTGTGTATTCATGAAGTGTAGATAGTCTGTGTTGTATGTTGTATGTGACTGTCCATTGCAGAGTCATGAGGATGAAGTGGAGGACCTTGCCAATGACTACGAACAAGTTGACATCAGTCCACCAGAGGAGGTAAAAGCCACTCCCGTGTGCAGTAGATTACAGCTTATAACCCACACCGTCTTTCTGCTGGATACCTGTACTCTTATAATTGCACAAATCCAATGATTAATGACTTGTAACATTTCTTACTTCTAGAGATCTCAAGTTCTGATAATTGAATAACAATGTTACTGACTCATTTGTTACTGCCTAAGTTTTGATCATGTGTCCTGTTGCTCAGGTTTGAGTGTGTGGAAAGCGCAGTCCTGAGACTGTGGTGCATGCTGTGGCATTTGCTTTGCACACGTGCATGCACATCATGCGTACCTGTGATTATGCACTTGCACGTAGTAATAGAATCAAGATACCTAACTAAGTTCAACCTTTGCTTTCAGACTGTTTCATTTTTCAATCTAATTTATCTTCTTTATGATATAATATAACAAAACAGCACAGTAGCTGCCAAAACATTTTGATAAGCCCCTTTGTTTTGATGAGACAGGAGACTTTTTGATAGTAATACACTGTCCTTTGATATGTAACTTTTATGTGGCCCAGACTTATCTTTTTGTTTTGAACTTTTTTCATATTATATGGTTTGGCTTTATCACTCTGCTTTCCCTCCAGTCTCTCTGCTTGCTTCATTTAGTTCTGGCAGATAGTGTGCTATGAAACATGTTCTTATTAATAGACTACAGTTCTAATTATTAACATGCATGGTAATCTTTTCTCATTTTTCCATANTATAACAAAACAGCACAGTAGCTGCCAAAACATTTTGATAAGCCCCTTTGTTTTGATGAGACAGGAGACTTTTTTGATAGTAATACACTGTCCTTTGATATGTAACTTTTATGTGGCCCAGACTTATCTTTTTGTTTTGAACTTTTTTCATATTATATGGTTTGGCTTTATCACTCTGCTTTCCCTCCAGTCTCTCTGCTTGCTTCATTTAGTTCTGGCAGATAGTGTGCTATGAAACATGTTCTTATTAATAGACTACAGTTCTAATTATTAACATGCATGGTAATCTTTTCTCATTTTTCCATAGGAAAACCAAGGAAGTCCTGCATGGTGCATTTTGTAAAAATATTTACGCATGAAATATGGCGAGGCCTATTATAATCACATTGTTTGATTAGACATTTAAGACATCTGATATAATATTGGGCTTCTTAAGGAACTTATAGACGCAACAGTCATTATTATTTCATGTTATGATGCTTTATATTAGTTGCTGAATATGAAATATTGTCTTCATATAAAGATTCCCTTGTACTTATGGTATTGCATTCTTGTCTGTTGGGGATTTGAATGAATAATATGGCGGTAAATCTGTAAAACTTAGTTCTCATAGGCTCAGCGGTGCATGGTACTTCACAACTATTGTGTTGCGCAGGTGCCACAATAGCTTGAATAGCCATACAATGGGAATACCTGTGCATTTTGAATACTGCCACCCCACTGGAGCAGAAAGAGTACTTGTAAAACTGAAACTAGGATGTTAATGCACCCATGTGCCATATTATGAGTCGCATGATGAGGGAAGTTTTTTTTTTCTCTCTTGAATCAGAGTTCAATACAGTCATGGGTCCTAATTTTGTGGTTATGTAAAATTGAAACTATTTGATTATTTGCCACACAGACATGTACCTACATCTCCATGTATGTTGCTCTTATGCCTTTTATCGGCTATTTCACTGTAAACAAAAATTTTTGAAAAAAATTTTCATTTTAAATGAATATAGTTACAATCCAAAGCTTACAACAATGGGATTGGACCTGGCTAACAGTAGTGACCCTCTTTGAGATTGAATAGTGCCCTTTGTGGCCAGTGAATATGAGTTTTTTATGGGCACTTGACCCCTAGATGGAAATAGTAATATCTCATCTTGTTTGGTCAGTTGAAAAAAATTTAGAAAGTGACCTGTGAACCGTGCATGACTTCTCATGCACGACAAAGAACAATGCCCATTCTTTGCATCTTTTGGCCTTTTTTTTTTTTTACCCTTGATTCTAGAGATGCTGGTACAGTTTAAAAGTTGAGGTCCTCAGTAATTTGTGAAACTTGTACATCAACAAGTTTTACAGCTAGGATTTATTTCCATTTATGTCTTAAGTTTGGGAATTTATTGGTAGCCATATATCTTCATTTATATAATTAATTTATTTCAAACAAGTTACAATTAGTAGCTCTTCTCTTTTCTCAGTTTATGCTAGCAGTTATAGTACATCTTATTCATATGACATGATATGATCTGGTTTTGTTCCTGTGAGGTACATACCTTGCTGTACTATCTGTGCAGTGGTTGATGTCGCGATGGTGCAGTGTTGCATGTACCACCGCAATCATCAGCCTGAAGACTGAGCACTCAAGATGGGGTTCTCTCTTCTGCTTTTTAAAAAGATGGAGAAGTTCTTCTGTCTAACTCAATCCACTTGGCTGCTTTTAATCGTCTCTGAAAGATTAATATGATCTCATGGCTAAAGATGACTTTCTGTAAAAAGCGCCTCCTGGCTTTTTGTCCTGTTTTTTTGGATGTAAAATATCTTGCAGCATCTTGTTGTTGTAAACTGCACTGTGATGTAAGACATTGCTCCATGTTGTTGGAATTTCACATGGACAGCACAATGGCTCTAGGCAACTATAGTGTATGACTGTGAGGGTGTGTCCTGGATGAATAAAATCCCATCTCTTTCCTTCTGTGCCTCATGTTGTGTAGCACAGGGCGTACATTATTACACACGCCGTAGATTTAGGGTCCCATTTTTAGAGCAAATGACTACTAGGGACATCTATCAAGATGACAATCGTACATTACATTTTGTTTATCAAAAACAATGGGGCCAATTCTTTATCCATATTAATGCATAAAAGGAGATACATATCTGTAATGACCCTCTGAACTTAGCCATCTAGCAGTACGTGAAGGACTGGTTGTCATTTGATTAGTTGGTCATCATAGAAGCCAGGGTTGACACTGTCACAGAAATTTGTCACTGCTACTGGTTGTGTGTAGCATGCTCATGCCAGCTGGGTGTAGTATAGACTGCAGAAAAAATGGGGAACTCGTGCAACAAGGTAGGGTATGGTGCCATATTTAAACCTATTTTTATTCTCTTGGGAAGGGTATTGTGGAAGTTGTCCCTTTTTTTGGGTAGAAATAGGGGGGACAAGATGCATTTGGCCAGGTTAGCAGGGCAGAGGTCACTTGGTCAGTTATTTTGTTGTTGAGTTCCATATTTATGAGAGACAGAAGGTTGGTGTCTTTTAGGTGGCCAGCGTATAGAATGGATACATGCATGGTTACACAGAGGAATTTTGGTTGGGCAGATTGATTCTAAAACTTTAAGTCGCCTAATTAAAGACTTGATTTATACACCACAGGAATTCTGTTGTAGGCTAGGATTTATATTTCCATTTTCTTTTTATGTAGTTCCAACAATTTTGTATACCCAAGGCCTATGGATACACTTTCAAAGAATGTGATTCCAATCATGTCTTTTGAAAAAGGAAAAAAACTAAGCATTTTGCTTTTAAGACACCAGTGACATAGAGTTATCGCCAAAACTTTTTTTACATCACCAAGGATAACCTTTGATTTTATGTGAGATTGTGGTTTTGGGAGTTTTAGATAGGGAATTTAGATATGGGTGTGTGCTCAAGTAGGCAAAACATTCGAGTGATGGCATCGGAGATATATTTGAAGATGTGGGTGTGTTGCAATAGATAAGTATTAAGATCTACACCTTAAAGCACACACATATATACAGAAAAGATGCAAGTTAAAGCATGATAATGATGATGTTATTATTAGAGTAATAGAGTAAGCAGGAGGCAGAAATGTCCTTTAAACTAAGAGGGTCATGCCACATGGTGTTTTTGATATCTTTGAGGTTTAACACACCACTTTTTTTGTGACATAGAGGTGGGGGGGGGGGGGGGGTCTTTGTTAAAAGGCTTCAGTAAACCTCCCCAATTTATAAACTTTCAAAAGGACTGATATTTCATTTTTTGTGCAAAAATTTTAGATACAATATAAATAGCCATGTTTCTAGCAAAACTTTTGATGTTTCTTTTACAAGAATCCTGATCAGATTTTTCCCCTCAATTTTGATCATATACCGTTTAATTCATATATTCAAAGGTAGGCAGTGTGGCGCCTGTTTGAGCTGTTTTCCCAATGAAACCACATGGACCTAAGGTGACTGACATAGCTACCCGTTACTATGACCAGGATGGTGTAGGTGATTGTCATCAAATGATACTATGTGACTGTCACCCTGGACCTTTATTATACACCTAGAACACTGACACCAGATGGATAAGTTGTCGATAAGGACAGCTGTGAAAATATATCTTTCTGTCACCAAAGAATAGGCGCCAAAATGAGGGCTACACCACATTGTTGTGGGTTTCTGTATAATTTATTGGATGTTTGTTATCTTCAGGATGGTATTTTGAAATACTGGGAGATAAAGCAGACAGACAGTAAAGTCCGATTATGCTTCGGTAGGACTATGGGGCAAAGCTATACAGTAAAGATACCACAAGAGTCTATTTTGGAATAAAATGTCTTTGGCGTCTGTGTATGTTTCTCCCTTCTTTTACTCTCCAGTTTTTCTTGTGTCATACGGTGTCATCTTATCACTACTGGACAGGTAGTACAAATAACTCTGCAATGCTGACAGGAGAAAAGCAAGGTAGACAACCAGTGCCTTAATTAGGGACTGTCTCGGTGCTCTTGCTTGTAGGTTGAGTGAATCGAGTGTGACTAGCATATAAAGATATGCTTAATAGATTAAAACAAGGTCCGCATAGTTTGTAATGAGTTAGACATTGTTTTGCCTGGTACAACGGTTTGCTTGTCTGGTGTTGTGGTGGTTATAGTTGACTTTGGATAGTTTTCTTAGAACATTTGTCAGGATATTAATTGAAAAACAAATCACTTTGGTGACACCAATCAATGAGGAAGGCAAAGAAACTTTTTCTTTCTTCTACAACTTGGTAAGAATTGCAGGTGTCCAGTGAGCCTTTGTTTTAGTGCTTGGTCAGTAAACAAACACATTAATTTCAAAACCATTGTTTTGAGAAAGGCTATTGTTTTTTTTACTGCACTTCATAACCTTAGGGAAAAAATTGATCTCGTGGTTTCCATTTCAAGAGAGGCTGACAAGAATATTCTCACAAAAAAAAGTTTCTTCAAAGGTTAATAGTACTTGTAATAGTCTTGATGGTTCTGCTCTCTGCCTCCTGATGGCTACAGATAACATGTTTTCCAGTCCTTTCTGTTTGATGTTGATCTTGCAGTACTTTGAGTAGGATATGAAAGCTGCATGTTTTTTAACATGTGTATATGTTTGTGATGCTAAATTTCACATTGCCTGTAATGTCATAAGTAAGAGTATTGATCTGATCAGGTCTGAATATGATGTTGCCCTTTCACATTGTTTTGTTATATCTTGTATTAAAATTTTGTTTATTTTAATAATATACTTACTTCAAAAATGTGAAGATGTGGTTATATTAAATCTAAATAAAGTTTATGTTAAATGTTGTGAAAATAATTGCAGAAGTATGTTTTGAAATGCTATGCACATTCAGCATCAGCACCGCAATGCACACTGGCCCAAATAAGCACCCTGAGTTGCCAGTAGCACATATGCACCAGCCAAACAGCACACTGTATGATGATGATGATGATGATGTGCCACTCTTTTGCTTTTGCCATGTTGTAACCCTGTGTTCTGTGTGCTTGTGTTATACAGCAGAAAGAGCCTGAGGTAGAGGAGCCCAAACACACAGAGCCTGAGCCTGAGCTGCCTCCAGAGCCAGAGCCCGAGCCACCAGTAGAGACATCTGTAGAAGCTGAAGTTAAGGCAGAGGAGGTGAGAATTCAACCCCCCTATTCCCCCCCCCCCCACCCCTCTTTCCTTTAACACCAGCCCAGGGATATCCTTGGTTTACTGTGCAAAACATCATAATATCCCAAGCAGGGTATAACCAGGCTCAGGATGAATACTACCAGTTTGAACTGAAGGTGGCGATGTCAGGACCCAGCTCTACTAACCAGTTTCAAATACAATGCATGATTGTAATGTTCATTTCACCCCACTGCATTGTTTTCTCTCTGACACAGATGACGAGTTTGAAAAGATGTTTAAGCTTGAACTAGTCCTTACGTCCTTACTAAGGATGGTTTCGGCATGTTTTTTTTTTTTTTTTTGGTTTCCACTGCAGGTGATGGTCATATTGTTAGCATGTTTTTTTTTTCAACTACAAAATGAATTTGAATTAAGTTTCAGAACAGTTGTACTAACATGTTTGTTTTCAGTTCATAATCATGCATCTGACCTCCATCTTATGTTTTGGATATTCTTTTTAACCAGGTGTCAAGCTATATTAGTTACTATATATATATAAACATTGTAAGGGTTATGGTACCATGTTTTGCCTATACCTAGCAAGTACATGCATCAGCACCAAGTGGGATAAAGGTTGTTTTTATATGATATTAAGGAGCATATAAGATATTTTAGTAGTGACAAGGTACCCTGCATGCTTAACATATTCTGGACTTTGAGTGGTAATAAATTTGAGGCTGACGTGCAGATTTTAGCTCTTCTCCTATATTATTTTTGTGATTTTTGTTTTAGAACTGAATGCAAAGATGAATAATGTTGTTTTGAGAAATAGAGAACTATGATTATTTTTGTCACAAGTTGTTACTGGTTTTATCTCAGTGTATCATTACTTAAAATGTGTCAGTTAAATGGTAATGCCTTGTGAATTTACATATAATATTGTATATTCTTTGTACACAAGATAACTTGCATGTGGATGAAGGTTTTCAGTTTTAAGCACATATGGAATTATAGCCATTTAATCAAGGTGCCATTTATGTTTATACTAACTGGAAAATCTATTTTTGAGCCTGACTTCTTAACATATTGCTTTCCCACGTTTACCTCCCCCCCTCCCCCCTACCCCCTCCCCCAGCCCTTTATGTCTGAAGAAAGGTAAATAATATATAAACAATTCGTAATGGATTTAGTAAAAAGAAGAATGGAAAGGAAAAAAGGTTTCTTTGCCAGTGGCTGACAACACTAAACAGATGTTTCAGTTCTCCAAATAAAAATAATAGGAAAAAAAAAGAAAACCTAAGCACAGTTGTTATGCAGGCAAATAAGATCAGTAATAAAACCAGTGCCAGTTGGGAAAACTGCAGTTAGCAAGTTTAAACACATGCTATAGTTGCATGTTTTTAACTTGTCTGTGCTATGATTAACAGAAATTTGAAGTAAGCACATTGCTGTTTTTTATCAACAAAGTGGTACAGTGATAAAAAGCAAATAGTCGTAACATCTGCCATTCGGATTTTTTAGGAGGCCATTTCTGTTGTTTTGACTTTTGTTTTTCAAACCATCTTAGTTCATGCTTATGGAAGTGGAGATGTGTTTGTAGACTAACAAGTACACTTTGTTTGCATGTTGTCTTGTTATTTGTCTTTTTTTCCAGTTCTTCATTTTTTGCATGCAATTCCCCACATATCAGCCTGTGTGCATGTCTGTTTTTTTATTTTGACAAATTAACCATGGTACTGGTGGTTCGAAATTTTTTTTATATAAGGAAGACAGTAAAGATATTTTCCTTGTTTGCATGTTAACTTGGTTTTGGCAATAGTATTTAAACTAGAAAATCACTCAGAGAGTGCAACACTTTGCCAAGGCAGCTCAATTCTGACTATTGATTTATTTAGTAATAGATCACCACCAAATTCTTATGAATTCTCTGTTAGTCCATTTCTTGCCTATCCTGAAAATTTTTATTGAAATCTGTCTGTAACTTTTTGAGCTAGGGTGTTAACTTACCAACAAAGGCAAAAAGATATAAAGGTGAATGAGATTGTGAAAATACTACATTGGTTGATAGGAGGTGGAAGGAATGATATAATATTATACCATTATAGAATATTGTGAATATGATATTATTCCATATTAGATCATATATCAGCCTGTGGCTTTGCCAGTAATCATAGGATGTGGTATGGTTCAGAGTCACTTACATTAAGTTATCCTTGAATTAACAGCATGGGTGGAGAGATTTGGGTTGACATCAGATTGATTATCCTAGAATGCGTAGGATAATGACACATTGTTTATGTAATTGTAGCCTGTCCAGAATGGATCAGCTGTGCAGGAGGACCACTTGGAGGTGGAGAATGAGACAGGAGAGGTGAGAATTCTAAGGGAAAGAATATTAGATTTATTAGATGCCCTAGCCATTCAGAACAGATATTATATGACAATTTTCCTTCCTCCCAGGGGTGAGGTGTGGAAATAGATTTTAATGAAACGGGTGACATTTTGTCATTTTATGTTAGTGATAAGATTGTCCAACATTGGATTAATGAACCCTTTTGTGAATACTTCTATGGAACTTGCTTTTCAGTGATGTATGTGATCTTTGCTTTGTTCGTTTAACTTAACACAGAAGAATTGTTATTTAACTTAACACAGAAAAATATTCTGAACACATTATGTGTTACATCATCAACCTGGTTGCTCTAATCACAGCTTTCTACAATGTGATTTGCTTATAGATTACATTACTTACTGACCCTGACTGCTTGTTGTAGAGCACATTATGAAATATGTTTCAGTATCAGGCAGTGCAATAATTTGAGTTGGAAAGCTTTAATGCTGGGCAGGAATGGTATATTGTAACTGTAGTGCCCACTGTGGGCAAAATTGGAAAAAAAAACTAATGCAAGATTGTTAGAAAGACCACTTCTCTGAATTAAAAAAGGGAAGTGTATTACAAAACTGAAACATGAAATGAGAGGCTTGAGCAAGTCTTGAATTATTCTTAAAGCAGTCGTGTTTGATTGGAATACTTCAATGTGATAATACATGTTTTCTTGGCCCTAAATATTTTTTGTTTGAAAAGAATAGACAGTAAAAATTAGCTCTCTAATAATGTTAGAAATATTGAGATACTTCTGATGGAGATAGAGATAAGTAATCATCTGGAGGAAGAGTTTAACAGAAAAAGAAGATGATTAATTCCATGTTTCTTATTTATCATATACATTTTATTTTTTACCATAATATGATTAATATCTATTACTTGCAAATACATTGTCTGTAGCAGATTGAGGTAGAGACTCTCTTTCTCTACACACAAAAAAAATTGAATATTGAACTTTGCACAGTATGTGTTCCTTCTAGCATGTTATAGATTATATTAGCCATGGCTGCAATGATTGATTGGGTGTCATAAAACAGCTTTCCTCGCAATTAATACTGTAATGTGATTTGTATTCAGTCTTCATGGGCAATTTACAGACATGTTTTAATTAACCTTTCTGTCTTCTTCCCTACCCAGCTGAGTAGCATTATCATTTCCATGAAGTAATTCAAGAGAGAGGAAAATTCCCTTTCATGTAGGATTTAGGTTTATGTAATAAGGGAACGGAGGGAGTATTGCGTGTGTATATACTAGGACTTGGTTGGTAAATGAGTCCATCTATTTTTATTAACATTCATCTCTAATCATTTCACACCTGCCTGACAGGTGAAATTATTTAAAGATTTTGGCACTCAAATACACCTTTTGGTATGCTCTGTCATGAAATTTCCACGAGGAATTATATAATCTTATTTAATTTGAGCAATTTCCCCAACTTGTGTGGGCACCTTTGAAATTACAACAAGAGTTATCCACTGTATGTGACGTCCAAGAGAGTAATTATATGAAAGTGTAGCCAAGATATAATTTGCTTATGAGTCTGCTGAAGTAACTATTCCACCTGGTCAAAATGGTAACAAAAACTAATCAACAAAGTGGACATGACATAAGTTTTCATGTATTTAGAATTAACATGTGATGCTTGGAAGTCAAAATTTTCATCATTTTAGGCAAACAGCAGGGCAAGCATTCCAAGGCAAAAACACCTTTTGTTAATAATGTTTTTTCCAGGTGTAAAATATAGTTTTTATTGGGGTCAGTGATGTTAGTGAGCGATAAGATAAATAAAGGAATCTGATAGTAGGAATGGCGGAAAAGAAAATGGCTGACTAACATTGCAATCTCTATTAACTTCTGTTGGTTTCCTTTGCTTGACAAATGTTTGTGGAAAGACTGAAGATAAATGAACTGTATTTCAGTCTGAGCCACATCATCATACAGATACATCCTCCTCGGCTTCAACTCACACTAGCAGTGAGCAGGTAAAAAATGACTATACTCAAAGTCATGAACAGTATGTCTATTGTATTTCTGGTAGAAAAAAATGTGTATTAGAAGTAGTTGTATTAACAGCGAAACCCTGTCTTCTTGGCAGCATGAATTCTCAGTAAATTTGATTTTTAAGTCAGCAGTATTTTCATTCTTGTTAGACTTTGATCAGTGACTAACTGTTCAAAGTCCTACAAACTGGATGTAATTTGTTTCGTTTTTTTCCCCTTCTTTCTATTTTGAGTTAGTTCGTGTTTAACTGCATTGGATCCCATCTGAAGTATTGTACAGTTGAATAACACACATAACATGCTAATGGTTATCACTAACCAATAGAAATCGCAGCGGCATATAAAAGTGTGGATATATAATTATATAACATGATGTGTAGGGCCATTGGGATGTCCTCCAGTACTATAGATTTGGGCAATGTCAATGTTGGTGTGACTCTGTGTTTGACTCCTTACTATTTATATGACTTCAAGGCTATTTGCCGGTATGGTTGACAAGGACAGAGTACTAATACAGAGATGAGACTAGTTGTACCAAATACACATTGTATTGTCTACCAGCTTTACTAAGTCCTGTTATTGTGGGTATAGGTTTAGATTTGGTGAGAATGCTTTAGCAGGGAATATCACACATGTGTTGTGGGATTTAGTTTGCTCTACTGCAATAGTGGGAATGCATAACCACATAATAGAGTGATATATGTTTAAGAGCCGTGTATACTGTGGTGTTGTTTGATCCCTTGGCGAGGCTAACATTTCTGTCTGTCCTAAACTGCTGATTATGACAGTGATATCTTGAGAATGGTAATGGCATTATTCTCAAAGTTCATGTCTGGTACAACCTTAAACATATTCCAGTTTGAAAATAGAATTTACTTAATCAACATGGATAAGGGATTAGCTGGTGTTTGGGTAATGCACTATAGTGATCTCTTTTACAGCATAGTCTGCGTTCTGAAGCCAGTACATCTGAGAAGGAGCCTTCAATTCAGTCTGAACAGGTATTTGTGTGCTGTACCAGATATAATGATAGTTTTTAATCTGTTTATAAAGTCTTAGATAGCCACTGCTTTTTAAATCTTTTATTTATTTATTTATTTATTTATTTATTTATTTATTTATATTAGTGCAGTGCTATTTTGTGAAATTCTGTTCAAATTTCTCTTTACAAGTACTAAACATAATTTCTTCATTGTCTAATGACAATGAAAATACTTTGTATCAAGTGTCATTCTTCCCCGCAGCACTTCCTGGTATTTGCGTTCATCTTCATCTGATGTACAGAGATCAAATGTTAATTGCATCTAATGGCGAATGGATGGCTGTTGTAACTAGATCAATTGTGTAGAACCCCTAGAGACCCGCAGCATCATTTTCTCATATCCTATCAATAAATCAGACTCTGAAGAATCAATTTGTGTGGTTGCCTTTCAGCATGAAGTGAGTGCTCCAGAGTCTGCTGGATCTGATAAAGAGCCTTCAGTACATTCTGATAGGGAACCCTCTATCTCTGACAAAGAGCCATCAGTCCATTCTGATAAGGAACCTTCTGTTCATTCTGATCACAACCAGGTACTTGCTCTTATATGTGATCTCTGCAAGTAATGGATCTGATCAAATATGGACACCTAATGCTTGTAAATTATACTATTGAGAGTAAGCTAGGTTGGTATATATAGATATATTCAACAGGTTTTAGGTTCTAATATAATCTCATGCAGCATTCAAGTATTGTCTTCAGGACAAGCATGTGTGTGTTTATATTTTACTTAGAATCAGTTAATATAACAAGTTAGAAGTGGGTTACCTCTGGTTACCAATGCCAGTGGATTGTATTTTAAATATCATGACAGGTCAGTTGGTCACTTGTTTACTGTGTTGGTATATGTCTAGTGGTATAGCATATTTGGATGAAATGTTTGTCATTAGTGTGGTAGGTTTTGGTTAAAAAAAAAAGAAAAATCTGGATGAGTTATGAATAACAAGCTGTAATTGCAGGACAGTTGTTGTTGTTGTTGTTGTTGTTGTTGCTGTTGTTGTTTTATTAGTGGGCAGTCCGATGGTGTAATTACCTACTAACATTGTATGTATGAAATGTATACCTACTGATAGTGTTTGGAGGCGTTTTAAAACATAAATTCAAAATTGCCTTCACCTTAGTCACAAATTTAACAACTGGGCTTGGATTATACTTCATGTGGGAATAACTAAAATATCATGTAATTACACTAATTTCATTGTTGAAAATTTTTCTATAAAGTTTTTCTTTTATTATTATACACTGAAATGTCAAGAATAGTTTTACTGCCAGATTAAACAGTTTAAATTTATATCTTTAAGGTTGTATATTTGAATCAAAAAAGAGGATCATTAGTATTATCAACAGCACAGCAACATTTTAGCCTATGTGTGATTAAAGAGTTTGAACCATTTCTTGCATGTTGGTTTAAGCAGGAAGAAGAGGACCTGCCACCGCCGCCCCCACCCCCACCACNCCCCCAACCCTTTATGTCTGAAGAAAGGGAAATAATATATAAACAATTCGTAATGGATTTAGTAAAAAGAAGAATGGAAAGGAAAAAATGTTTCTTTGCCAGTGGCTGACAACACTAAACAGATGTTTCAGTTCTCCAAATAAAAATAATAGGAAAAAAAAAGAAAACCTAAGCACAGTTGTTATGCAGGCAAATAAGATCAATAATAAAACCAGTGCCAGTTGGGAAAATTGCAGTTAGCAAGTTTAAACACATGCTATGGTTGCATGTTTTTAACTTGTCTGTGCTATGATTAACAGAAATTTGAAGTAAGCACATTGCTGCTTTTCATCAACAAAGTGGTACAGTGATAAAAAGCAAATAGTCGTAACATCTGCCATTCTGATTTTTTAGGAGGCCATTTCTGTTGTTTTGACTTTTGTTTTTCAAACCATCTTAGTTCATGCTTATGGAAGTGGAGAGATGTGTTTGTAGACTAACAAGTACACTT